TTTTTTTTTTTTTTTTTTTTTGCTGCAGCACAAATAATTCCTTATTAAGATTTTAAAGAGTTAAGCTAATACAATACACATACAACTAAGTTACAATTAAATTTAATAATTAATAAATATAATAATTTATTAACAATTAATTTTAAAATCATTTATTTTTAATAATTATAATATTTCCTTATAAATTTTTAATATAATATATATATATGTAATATCAAAATAACTTCTATAATATAATATTAATTATTTATTTATTAAAATAATAAAATATAAAATTTCTAATTTTAACCAAAGGGGAAATTCCTTCTGTAATGAATTAGAACTAAGTGACAAATAAGATTTTTAATAATAAAAAAATTTTTTATTCCTAAATTAATTAGCAAAAATAAGGACATATATAAATGTAGGTTTAAGTTTGTTTAGCTAAAATATAAAAATTTTTTCCTAAAAGAGATTTATTATTGCTTATTTGATAACATAATTTTAAAATAGTCAGATATAATTATGTGTAGCAAAGTATTAAATTATTAATAGTTAGATATATATAGCAGGATAGATTTTTTTTAATATATATAAATATACATTTACATTTTTTTACATTAAAAAAATCTAATAAAATATGTAAACAAATTTATAAACATGTTTTTTTTTAAAAAAAAATAGTAACGTGCTTTATTAATTTATAAACATGTTTGTGTAAAAGAAATTTACTATTTTTAACACAAAGAATAAGTTAATTGTATATGTGATACAGGAACCATTTTTAGATGTGATCGTGTAACGTGTTTTTGACAAACAAATACGCGTCTGCATAACATTAAAAATATAAAAACATATACGCGTCTGTGTAACACAGAAAAAATATAAATTTAAAAGAAAGGGTAAAATAAGTGTTTTTCTGTTTTTTTATAATTTTACACTATAATTTTTGTAATAATCAATAAAAGTTATTTCATTTTTACTTATTAAAAAATTTTTTATAAATATTTTTTTTAATAAATTTTACTAAAAATAAAAATTCCGCGTATTGGTAGCATTACAAAACATGAATAAATCCATAAATATCTATTTAATCATGATAAAAATTTATATATAGGTAGATTCAAACCTGCTGAACAACTTTACTTAAGAAGGTTTCGGATGTTTCCTTTGACTGAAGTGCCTAAATTACGCTCTGAAGTCACAGAACAGATATAAGAAAATATTTATAAGAAACATTTATTAGTTGTAATATTACAAAAAAATAATAATAGCTTTATCCATGCATTATTTCAAAAATTTTTGTTTTTTTTAGTTTTTTTTTATATACTGTACATATTTTATAAAAAAAATTATATATATATATATATATGTGTCATATAATAAGTTGCTAAGTAGTATAAAAAATTTATGGGTTAGATAAAAGTTTGCTTAGCAGACAAAAAATATTTGCTTATTGACCTTAGTAAATTTTAAATTTTTTATCTGACCTATATATATATTGTTTGGGTTCTACTATAGGGTGTGATATATTGTAATAAATAAACCTAACTTATAATCTAATTTTAATCTAACCCTAAAGTTGCTTGTCAAAATTAGTGAATTTTGTAATATCAAAATTGTTAAAATTATTTTTACATTTTGATCAATTTTAATAACTAGAATAATTTTGTTATTTCATTATATCAAAATATTAAAATTATTTCTACTATTTTGGCAATGACCTTTTTATTTTCAACAAGCATTTTTATCTAATCTAATCCCTACTCTAATAAATATTAGGAAGAGAAAATTCCCTTCTGATTAAATGTAGTTATTTTCATAAAATGTAATAATTAATAAAATACAATAATTTATAATTATTTGTATATGTTTTTATATTAACATATTTTTATATAAATCATTTATTGATTTTAAAAAAATTATTTGTATTTTTTTATAAATTTTTAATATAATATATATAATGTAATGTTAAAATAACTTCTAACATTAATTAAAATATTAAAAAAAATTATATTAAAATTAATAAAATATAAGAATTAATTTTAAAAATTATTTGATTTATATAAATTTTTAATGTAATATATATTAATCATATATACTATGTAATGTTAAAGTAACTTCTAACAATATGTAATATTAATTAAAATATTAAAAAAAAAATTATATTAAATTTAGCAAAATATAATAAAAATAATTTGTATTTTTATAAAAATTATATTGATTAAGAAAAAAATATTTTTTTTTATATCTGCAAAATGTTGCATTTTCATTTTTTTGGTAATTTTTATATATTAATTATGTTGATCATTTCAATCACATGATTTCATTAAGATTTTCCATTTTGGATCCTGACAACTTACAAATAAATTAAAAAAAAATTAAAAATTATTTTTATTTAAATAAATATATATATAATATTTTGTTACATATTTTATTTATAATATTCTCTAAAATAAAATGACAAAAAAAAAAGTTCATAATATATTAATATATAATATAAAAAATAATGAAATAATATATTTTTGTCTTTTTTTGCAAATTTATTAAAGATGACAAAACTGGTTTTAGATATTATTTTTGATTTATTTAATAAAAAGCATTTTTTTATTAAATAATTTGCAAAAAAATTTACTTTTTTTGAAAAATTGTATAATCTTGTATAATAATTTTTTTGGGATTTGTGTAATATCATATGATATGAATTGATAAATAATAACTAATATGCCATTTTAAAATATTACAAATAAGATATATAGTATGGTATTATAATTAAATTTGTCTTTTTTATTTTTATAAATTTTTATTTTTTTAATATAATATTTATATGTAATGTTAAAGTAACTTCTAATAATATATAATATATTAATTAAAATATTAAAAAATATATATATTACATTTAGCAAAATATAATAATTAATAAAATTATTGATTTTAGTTTCATGTAAATTTTTCTTTAAATAAAAAATATTGCTCTCTTTGAGTATAATTTATTAAAAATAAAATTATTGATTTAAAAATTATTTGTATTTTTATAAATTTTTAATGCAATATATATTATATAATATTAAATTAAATTCTAATAATATGTAATATATATTAATTAAAATTATTTTCATAAGTCTTTATTTTTACAATTTATACAATATAATATTAAAGTAACTTCTAATAATATATATTGCATTAATAAAGGAATATGTTTTTTTTGCACTTGCAATATATCGCATCTTCTTTTTTTGGTAATTTTTATATATTAATTATATTGATCATTTTGATTACTGACACTTTATTAAAATTTTCTATTTTTCAAAAATCCTAGCATGAGACTTTATGCAATTACTATATATTATAAGAAATCTTATATTATGTATATTTTTGACTGCTCTACAAGTTTTCTTAATATATTAAAAAGGATTTAGAATGTCATTTTTGACTTTTATATTTAATATATTATAGGAGTGCAACATAATACAGATGCAATAAAAAATAAATCCTTAATTAAAATATTAAAAAAAATTATATTAAAATTAACAAAATATAATAATGATTAATAAAATTATTGATTTTAGTTTCATATAAATTTTTTTGTAAATAAAAGATATTGCTTTCTTTAAGTATAAATTATTTATTTTTGTAAATTTTTAATACAATATATGGGGATACGCACAGCAAAACAAGGGGATAGGATCTAAAAATTTTTTTTTGAGATTTCATTACAACTGTAATTTTTGGATAAATTGGAGCATAATTATCATATAAACTTAAAAAATTTTTTTTTGAGGCTATCCCCTTGTTTTGCTGTGCTTATCCCCATATATCAATATTATATCATGTTAAAGTAATTTTTAATAATATGTAACATATATAAATTATTTATTTTATAAATTTTTATTTTTAATATAATATAGTGTAATGTTAAAGTAACTTCCAATAATATGTAATATATATATAAATTATTTTATTTTATAAATTTTTATTTTAATACAATATATATAGTGCAATGTTAAAGTAACTTCTAATAATATATAATATATTAATTAAAATATTGCAAGAAAATGGCCAGAAATTAAATCATTTTCTAAGGAAGAAGGGAATGAACTTAGGGCATTAAAACCATAGTACTGTAATGTTATATATTTTCCATTTTTAGACACTTGTAGAGTTGTAGTTAATATAATTCTGGATAGAATTTATTATTCTATATGAATCGATTGATGTGACCCTAATTGATTCTGATAAAAACATATTTTGTGAATAACTTTTGATCTAGCAGTCCAATAGCTAGTCCAATATATTAATTAAAATAATGCAATACATACTATATTAAAAAAAAATTATATTAAATTAGCAAAATGTAATAATTAATGGAATATATCAATTTATTAATTTTAAAAATTATTTTTATTTTTTATAAATTTTTATTTTTCAATACAATATGTATTATGTAATGTTAAAATAACTTAGTAAAAGTATCCATTAGACATACAATGAGTTAGTGGATAAAAACTGTTGCCTAATTTAGATAGAACATATAGATAAAACTAATCTCAAATATTTAAGTGGAAAAATGTCTTCAAGTTACAAGGTAAAAATGCCTTCAAGTTATGAGAACATATAAGAACAAAGATAACCTCAAGTTATGAGAATGACAATGTTCTCAAAATTACAAAGACTAAAATAAGGATAAAATATCCTCAAAATTATGAGAAAAAAAATATTCTCAAAATTATGAAGATAAAATTGTTTTCCTCAAAATTACAAGAATAACAATATTCTCAAATTATGAGGACAAAAATGTCCTTAAATTATGAGTCTTCAAATTATGTAAACAAAATTACAAAAACAAAAATGTCCTTAAATTATGAGAACAAAAATATTCTCAAATTGTGAGAGTAACAATATCCTCAAATTTATAAGGACAAAAATGTAAAGATTTTGAGAACAAAATGTCCTTAAAATTATGAGAATAAAAATATCCTCAAATTATGAGGATAACAATGTCCTCAAAATTATGAGGACAAAAATATCCTAAATTACAAGAACAAAAATGTCCTCAATTACAAGGAAAAATGTCTACAATTACAAGAACAGAAATGTTCTCAAATTATGATAATGACAATGTCCCTTAATTACAAAAACAGAAATGTTCTCAATTAAATACAAAAATGTCTTCAATTATAAGGACAAAATTGTCCTTAATTATAAAAACAAAAAGTCATCAAATTACAAGAACAGAAAATGTCTTCAAATTACAAAAATAGCAATGTCTTCAAATTTACAAGGATAACAATGAGAAAATAATATCCTCAATTACAAGAACAAAATTGTTCTTAATTACAAGGACAAAAATGTTCTCAAATTACACAGAAATGTTCTCAATTACAAGAACAAAATTGTTCTCAATTATGAGGACAAAAATGTCCTCAAATTATGAGGATAATAATGTCCTTAATTACAAGGACAAAAATGTCCTCAAATTATGAGGACAAAAATGTCCTCAATTGCAAGGACAAAAATGTCCTCAAATTATAAGAACAGAAATGTCCTCAATTACAAGGACAGAAATGTCCTCAATTAAGGACAAAAATGCCTTCAATTACAAGGACAAAATTGTCCTCAAATTACAAGAACAGAAATGTCCTCAAATTATGAGGATAACAATGTCCTTAATTACAAGGACAAAAAAAGAAATGTCCTCAATTACAAGGACAAAAATGTTCTCAATTACAAGAACAAAAATATCCTTAATTATAAGGACAAAATATCCTCAATTGCAAGGGCAAAATTGTCCTCAAGTTACAAGGACAGAAATGTTCTTAAATATGAGGACAAAAGTGTCCTTATAGTTGGACAAAAATCATGTCCTCATAGTTGCGAGGACAAAAATGTCCTCAAAGTTGCAAGGACAAAATATACTCAATTTACAAGGACAACAATGGCCTTAATTACGAGGATAAAATTGTCCTCAAGTTACAAGGACAGAAATGTCCTCAAATTATGAGGACAAAAATGTCCGCGCTTATAAGGTCACATGATCTCTGCTTAATATTGGCCAATAAAAACCGTGGTTTCCGTAGAGGATATAACCTATGCATTTGAGACGCGATGGATAAGGTTATATCCTTTGCCGATCAGGCGAATGGGGTGAAAGCTACGTGGAAAGATACAAAGGTTATTTGTAAAAAATTAGTGAATAATGAATCAATTTGTAATAAACCAATTGAAGCACTTCGTCATGAATTAGAAATGCATAGAAGATTGGATTTTTGTCAAAGAATAATACGTATATTAGGTATAAGTTTAGGTAAGCTAATATAATTTAGAAATATTATTACTTATCATGATAATTAATATTCATCTTCATCTTTTATTACAGATGAAAGTACAAAAGAATATTCACTTATAATACAATATGCCGATAGTGGGAATTTACGTAAATATCTTGAAAATAATTTTTCGACATTAACTTGGAATGATAAAATCAAATTGGCTTATCAGATTACTGAAGGAATAAAATTTCTTCAGGGTGAAAAAATTCTTCATCGAGATTTACACTCTGGAAATATAGTAGTACATCAAGGAGAAGCTAAAATCATTGATCTTGGTATAGCAAAAAGTACTGAAACTCATACAAATATTCATTCAGGTGTATTTGGGTCACTTCCATATATTGATCCTAAAATTTTAGAAGATCATACATATAAATATAATTATAAGTCTGATATTTATAGTTTAGGAGTTCTTATGTGGGAATTATCTAGTGGTAAACCTCCCTTTTTCGGTGAAAGTGAGAGTGTTTTAAAATATCGCTTAGTATGTGGCCATAGGGAGAAACCAGAATCTGATACACCCGATGAATACTTGAAATTATATATTTTATGCTGGGATTCTGATCCAGATGCAAGACCATCAATTAGTCAAGTTTTCAATAAATTAGTTAAACTAGGAAGAATGAGAGGTATTCAAGACTTTCAAGATATCAAATGTGACGATGATGGTATGCAAGGTAAGAACATATCAATGAAAAAAATAATAATTTGCAAGTGTGATTATAATTACCGTATACTAAAAATAATATTATCATTATGTATTAAAGATATTCAAAATGACAATGATAATGATCTTGATACACAAGGTATGAATTTTCTTTACTAATAATAATCAAATTTTGTAAATAGTAATTTTATTTTTACTTAATAATGAATTTCTACAAAAGTGAATACGGAAGAGAGCATTTATGATGCAGCAGGTAATTGAACAATACATTTACTTTTTGTTTAAATATTGTTTAACTATTTATTTACAATTGCTAATTAATTATATAATTAAATTTATAGAAGATGATAATTATGATTTAGACAGTAAGTTAATTTTAATAACTTATTGTTTTAAGACATTAACTAAATAATTCTTATATTTTTAGTTGATTAAAGTGGCGAAATACTATTTATTGGATGATTTTTACGTAACAGGTTTTTGTTTACATTTAAAATATAGAATGATACGGAAATGTTTTTATTTTTCTAAAATATTTGTGTTAAGTATTTATATTTAAAATTGGGCTTACAAATGTAAACTTTAAGTTTCAGTTTATTTATATATTTTACAAGTTTACAGAAATAAATTCATATCATATTTAAATATTTGTATTCATTCAATGGGAAACGACTTTTATTAAAAAATTACAACTTGCATTGGAACCTGATGTTTTTAATTAGTAAAAGAATTATTTATTTGTTTAATTCACTTAAACAAAGTCTTTTATAAGTTGTCCTTTTGTCACGAACTTTGAACTTTCATTTAGGCTTTACATTCTGAAAACTTCAAATATTTGCATCAAAAAATCAACATTTTTAACACTATTAAAGGGAATAGGTTATTTATTTACAGATTAATGAAATCAAACTTGCCATCTCGGAATTAATTGTTGTTGATCACGAATTCCTTATTCGCGTGTTTATCCTTGCAATCCAATTGTGATTATCCAAGACAACAAAAAAAAAGTAGGGAGTACCAAAAAAAAAATCGTGTAGATCTTTCCTTTTTTAGATAATTTTAGATAATGCCAGGCAAAATATATTACCTATTTTAGTAATTGACTGTCCTGAAAAACATGCGTACAGCTAACCTGATATATATTCCGCTTATCATGTGTTTTTAAGGATACGCAAGAATTTTTTTAAAAAAATTATTATAGAATTCGAGTCCATTTGATAATTTGATAAAAAGGTTTAATAAATTTAGTATCACATTTCTTTACTCTTCGTTTATCTAAAAAAAATATATTGTTGCATAGTAATTTATTATATACACACGTTTAAGCAATAGTTTATTGAAAGTTTACATCAGATAGATAAATAAGGTAATGCAGAATTTAGTTTATCATATATTTATCTGTAAATGGTTTATTTAATTTTATTCGATGTAAGGTTAGCCCATTGGTTAATTGTAGTAAATTTAATGACAACGTAGGAAAACTGTGCCAAATTTATTGATATTGGAAGAGGGAATTATATACTATATTGAATATCAAGTTTATTAGTATTATAAATCATTTTAATATGATATCGTATGAACTAACATAGTGTTAAAGCACATTATTAAATTTTTTATGAGTGTTCAAACTTCAAAATAGACCTAACAACAAGTTCACTAAATATTAATAATTATTACAATGTGAAAATTATTCTTCTTCAAAACAATAGAAGTAAAATACCATAGTGGTACAATTAGCTGCATTTCCGAATGAAGTAGATTAACTTATTCATAGTAGCGATAGGTAATCAAATTACCAAAGAAAGGAAAGTTGGTAAGCGACATGAGATAATTTTTTAGTTTCATGTCAAAGGTTTGTTTTGATTTGATCCGCCCATTCAAATTTTTACTTTTTAGGAACAAAATTTTTTATTATAAACCAAAAAAGGACTTTTTTGTAAAAGAAATTTTTAATATTTTTTCTCTGAGACATATAAGTGCATAAAATATAATATACAGTAAGTACCCTGTAAAAAAAGCCGATCCGTTTTTATATTCCATCTTTTTTCCATAAAAGCTTATCTTCCCGGAATTAATAACCTTATATCACGGAATTTATCGAATTATTTACATTTTCCGTAAATGGAACCGTGAAAGGCTCATTTTTACGGAGTTTTTACAGAAATAGCAGATAAAATTTTTTACAAGGATAAAAAAACAAAAGCAATAGTTCTTACGATATTATTGATGGTAAGTTAGTAAAGACTAATCATCACTATCTTTGATATTTTTTGACTCAGCTAAGATATGAAAATCGAAAATTTTACAATATGTATCGCCTTATTAATGCATCATACGAAGAATGTGTTAAAAAGCAAACCATAAAAGAAGTCATACTTCCAATAAAGGTTTAGAGCCGTATATCATCAGATAAATACTAACTAACTTTAAATGTGAACTTTTTTACAGCTTTTGACAATTGTAGCAACTATCTGAAATTAAAATCATAAATGTTAAAACAAGTTTAACATTTGGTTTTGGTTAAGTCGGCGTAGCTACAATGGTTTTAACTTTTATTGTCTCGTATGACAGTATAGGACCCAGAAATATATATAAAAGGGTCAGGTTTGAGTTTGCGTATTTTGAACTAAAAAAATCATGAAAATCTTTCCTTTTTTAGATAAATTTTGATAATGCCAGTCAGAATTTATTTCCTATTATAGTAACTGACTGACATTATCATAATTCCGGCCCTGAAAAAATGCGTACAGCTCATAGTAAAAAATTTTTTTCATCACCTGACCCCTATATATATATTTCTGGGTCCTACAGTATAAGTTAAAATTAACTTTTGTATACAATAATCATTCGATAACAATACATTCCAAAATTGTTTTCATTATTGAAAAATAACAAAATGCAGTAATAAGATCAAATTTTCTATTGATTATGAAAAAGAGTTTATTGTATGTAGATGTTAGTGATTTAGCAAGTTAATTTCAATAGTGTTGGTTTTTTGCTTAAATATTTACATATCGCAATAACTCAGATCTTAGCGTTGGTACTTAATAATATTGTAAGGTTTATAATTTATTTATTTTTTTAAGACTATTACAAATGCAATTACATAAACGTTTGTACTCACATATCTGAATCTGATTTATTTATCTGTTCGAAAAAGGTATGTAAACAATCGTATTTAAATGTGGACCCTACGATTGATACCTTTTAAATTGTAAAAAAAATACAAACAAATAACTAATAAAAACAAAATTTAAAATATTTGAAGTATTGAAATGTTTAGCTATCTATATAATTTTCATCAGAAACCTCCAAGTCGAATAATTGTAAATCTAGGCATTCAAACCGCAATCCATAAACACTAGTTAGTAATTATTATTAAAATTATTTAAAATTTATAGTGTGGAATATAATAAATACCTTAATTATCCTCTTCATCAAGATATGACGTAATTATAGATGAATTAAGAGCACTTGTTAGATCAAATGTAAGTAATCTACTTGTATATATAGCATCAAGCTCTTTTTCGTATGAAGTTAAAATGTTTGGTATCTCTTTGTCGGCCTCTTTAAATATAAATTCAATTTCTTTTCTTTTATAACCATATTCTTCTTTTTCTTGATAACCTTTATAATAATAACCATTCATAGATTTATGCCAAAAGCTTATTATAGAATATAATTCTTCAGCTGTTGGTCTCTGATTTGGATTTGAATACATGCATATAAGAGATAACTCTTTATAAATTACTGGAGTTCCTTTCCCAAAGTCCGGCCTGAGTCCGGTGCATATTTGTAATGCCAAAGACTGATCATGTTCTCTTTTATGAAAAGGTGGTTTTCCAGATGATAATTCAGCCATAATTACACCAATACTATAAATATCAGAAGAAAGAGTGTAAGGTCCTCCGTATAAAATTTCTGGGGCGATATATGGCAATACTCCACATATTTTATCATTTGATTTTTGTTCATTTGCTGGACCAGAAAGTCCAAAATCAGTAACGTAAGTTGCAAAATTATCTTGTAGGATATTTCCACTGTGAAGATCTTTATGAAAAATTCCTAATTTATGTAAATTTTTGATGTTTTCTAGTAAATCACATAATAAAGATATTTTATCATTCCAAAGAAGATTTTTAAAGTTATTCGAAAGAATACTCCTCAAATTTCCTTTATTTGCAAATTTTATAATCATAATATATTCTTCGGTTTCTGGATCCTTAGTCATCCCATAAAAATCTAAGAAATGCATATGCTGACTTCTTCCAAATTTATATAAGTTCCAAAGTATTTTAATCTATTTTATAATAAAAATTTAAGCATGTCAATATTAAAACAAAACGTATAAATATAATATGATATATACCTCATTTAAATATTCAGCTGAAATATTCTGTGATCTTTTTAATTTTCTCAAAGCAACTTTCTTAGGTTTAGAATCCAATTTTTTCCAACCTTCATTATCTTTATAATATGATGAGTTACTATCTACCCATATCGCAGAATAAATCTCTGCAAAACCACCTTCACCAATTTGTCTTATGTCTATAAACCTATTATATGGTATCCATTCGAGGAAAATATCGTCAATATTTTGTCTTGCATTATAAATTGTATCTTTTATAAACTTATCGATATCATCATTTCCGCTAGTCCATCCTTTCATTATACGACGAGGATCGCATTCTTTGCACCATAAATTTTCGGTAAATGATTTATTACAATATGAACAATTATTTTGATTGTCATTTACTGCTAAGTTATTAAATTTAGTTACTGTATCCATTTTTTTTTTTAAAAAAAAAAATAAAATAAATAAATAAAATATAAATGAAATTATTAATAACCCATACGGAATAATTTCTCCGATTAGTATAGGATCATGTGATCAAGTGTTCGTGTGTATCGTAACACAAAGCTTCCTGCATGGCATGGTTCAACAAAATGGTCAATCAAGCTTTTCATTTCCAAATTTGGTTTACAAAGAATTTTTGTGTGTCAGGTTGGTGGTACAGCAGTGACAAATAATTGGGGACAAATAAATTTTGGACCACTCAAAAGAGAGAAAATATGAACAATGCAATCACGTGATATGCGACGGTTAAACATCTACCCCAGTATCGCCAGAAAATTTTTTCACCCCCACGTGACTTTGGCCGGCATTATGAGATTTGGCTGGAATTAAGAAATTATCCATGTGTCGAATAACGTGTGACGAATAGGATTTTAGACACCGAAAAAAATCTAAGTCCCCAGAATACTTATAAAAAATGAGAAAGTGGAGGGATGTGACACGAGTGACAAATTATTTAGGGTCACGTGGGGGTGAAAAAATTTTCTGGCGATACTGGGGAAGATCGGTTAAACAATTTACCCAATCATTTTCCACTCCACGTGATTTTAATGGCGTTTAAAATTTAAATTGGCTCAATTAGTTTCACGTGTAATATTTATCTTAGAAAAAAAACCACAAAAAAAGAAAAAAAGAAAAGAAAAAAAGATATATTTTTCTTAAAATATTATATAAAATAAAATTCTTTTATTGCTTTTACAGTAAAACATCTAAAAATAACTCTCTCATTCTCTCACACTTTACTAAATTTAATAAATAAAACAAATTAAGTATGCGTAGAACTGTCTATGTATTAATTTTTATCAAGCTAGCTTGAGTATTTATGGAGTAATTTGAATTTTTTACAATCAAATATTTTTAAAACATTATTGTCTTTAAAAAGTGTTTATTTATTTGTTTAACAAAAGTACTAAAAAATTACGCTATAAAGTGAAAATACCCACCCGCGAATAGTACTGTAATTCCATACAAAAATATTAATATTTTTGCAAATATTCAAGATATTTTGATAAAATTAATATTTAAGTAGTTCTATACCCGCTGAATAGCATTATTTAAGCTTCCTAGACCTACTTCATTTAACTAAGTGTCAAAATTACACTATAAAATTAAAAATAAATGTAAAACAATTAATTTTAATCAGAAAGACATAAGCAATATCCAATGAATAAATACTTCCATACCTGTTAAATAACCCTACTTAGTCCATTCAAGTCTATCATTTCAAATTAATAATATAAATTCTAAAAAATAAATAAAAAAAAACGCGTTTAACGTAAATAAAATCATTTACAGCTTCATAAAAGTATTATATACTTAAGCCTTTCAAAAATTTTTATTTTTTTTATTATTTAATGAATTTTAAAACATTATTTTAATGTGAAAAAAAAGGAATAAGAAAGAAGGAGAGAGAGTTTTGTTATAATGGGTAAACAATATTAGTAAAGCTCATCATGCCACACAACATTTAAATAATAATTGTTTATGCATTATATATGCATTATGCCTTCTTGAACATAAATTCAATTTTTTTTTGAAATTCATTATGATATTCTAAATAGTTTAAATAAAAAGGTATGCTGTAATGTTATTCAAATATAACATTGTGTATTCCCTGAATGTTAGTATATACACTACTAGTACTACTAAATGTATTTTCGTCTATTTATTTGAAAAATAGATTAGTTTTTATGAAGCGTTAAGCCGTTAACATGAGCAAGTAATTTTATTTATGCACCACTCTTAGCTTTACAAATAAACTGAAGCTAAACATTAAATAAATTTATTTTCATTACCAGAAATTTCTGTCAATTAATAATGAATCTATTAAGCCCATAAAAAAACTTTAAAATTAACATTATAAAATATAACGATAATATTTTACAATTTCTCTTCACAAGGATACATGAATTAAAGATTTTATTAAATTACTAAACGTAATTACTCTATTAATATAGCATCGGAACATAAATTGTATAATTATTTTGTAAGATATTTCCAATGTCTAATTTATGTAAATTTATAAGATTTATTGATGAATTACATAAAGAAATGTTACCTATCCAAGAACATTGTTAAACCACTTGAAAGAATACATTTTAATTATAAGTTTCTTATTTCCAGGATCCTTTGTCATATCTAACACATATAATGTATTCTAACCTAAATGTTACATAATAATTAAAGCATGTTACGTTAAAACATTTTTACAATACATACTGTACCTCCTTCAAATACTCAGCTGATATATTTAATCTTTTCAAGGCAAATTTCTTAGGTTTAGAGGAGTCCAATTTTTCAATTTTAACTATTACATAATATGATGGCAGAATAAACTCTAGTGTACCACTCAAATCTACTAAATGACACTTGTTCAATAAATATGTCATCAATATCTTGTATAAATTGTATCTTTATAGGATTATTAATATCAGAATTTCATCCTTCCATCATACAACTAAGGTCGACAATAATTTTTAGTAAATAGTTTTTTTAAAAAAAATTACAGAATTCACGCTATTAGGATGGCGGAATAATTTCGAAATACTGTACGGGCCGAGCGCTAGGTGTCACGTTGAGTGTACCAACAATTAATTAAATCAAAACTTATGTAACGTATCATATAAAAGTTTATTATTAGAAATTTTTTTGACGATCATTATAATTTATTGTAATCACTGTTATTGTTTTCATTCCAATTCTGTGAGACGCTCCAATTAGTTGTTTTTTTCACATGATACCTCCCTTTTCAAAAAAAAATAAATAAATAAATAATTCAAACCTTTTAGCTTTTTTAGATACTTCTCGATAAGAAAAAAAATGTTTTTCTTAGTATTTTTCAAAAAAGCGAGGTATTACGTTATTCTTTGGGTTCTCGTATTTGTCTAATTGCACTAAGACTAATAATGCATGGTTTATCGAATTTTAAAATTTTTAAAATTTTAATGGCTTCTATTTCAAAGTGTGCGCAGATAAATTACTTTCTGAGATGTAATTTATTAATTTCAGAAAATAAAGTTAAAAAATCTGAACTGATGAATCTAAAATACCCAGTATTCATTTCATAACCGGCATAAATTAAATCATTTCAAAAAAATCTCTAATATAAATAAACGTTTATATGCTTACATATGTTATGATTTAATTAGTTGATGGTACACCCAGTGTCACGTGTATCTTCTGCGTAAATTTTTGATCTTCAATGGAATTTATTGGAACTTCTACTACAATCTTCCTGATCAGCTCGATCATCGTTCTTTTTGTAATACCACTTGAACGCCCCTTTTTTTATACAGTAGATTTAACCTTTTTAAGTTCAGATCTTACTAAATTTAAATCTTTCCGTACTGATCCTACTTCATTAGTTATTCCCCTATTTTTCTGAGTTCCGTTTCCTTTTTTTTGTTCTTTTGCTACGTCTCACAAAGCCAGTTGCGAAGGTGTCTCTATATCCTTTCGATACATCTTATAAGCTATTTCTGCATTACACTTTAATAAAAGCTCTACTGTTTTCATATTCATGCACATTCAAGGTATTCAAGATGATAATGATAATAATGTTGGTACAAAAGGTGGGAATTTTTTTTTTGTTAATAACTGAAATGAAATTTATAAAAATAGTAAGTAACTTTATTTTAATAATAAATTTCTACAAAAGTGACTGCAGAAGTGAATATAAACGATGCAGGTAATACAAAAGTGACTACAGAACGATGTGAATAACTAATATAAAATAATTGAACAATGCATATTATTTTTTTTAAAGCTATTTAATTTTTTAATCTATAAATTTTAATCATTTGCAAATACGATTAAAATTTATTCATTTTTAGGAAAATTGAAAAAAGGTTTATACGGAACATGTATAGAATGTAAACAGCCAAGAAGCCATTATCAATGGTGTCAACCATGTGAACGAAAACAGTGTGAGAAAAAAATTAAAAATTGGACTAGCAGAGATAAAAAAATTGATGCATTTCTTCGAGATGCACAATATAATTCTACAAGACCTCAAACTTTTTTAGAATGGATTCCTTTTGATAAACTTGAAAATATCTTAGATATAAAGTCAGAAAATAAGACAAGTACAATTTATTCGGCTATTTGGAAAGATGGACCAAGAATATGGAACCAACAAAACGAAATATATGAAAGAATTAAAACTGAAGTTATTATCAAATTAAATAAGGATAAAAATGATGATGTCCAAATTAATGAAATTTTAAATGAGGTGATTTAATAGTAATTTGTTTTAATTGGAATTTCATCTGTTAAAAAAATAATTTGTTTTAACTATTATTATAATTATATAGCTTAAAATATATTTGGATTGCCATACACAAGAAAGTGCTCTATTAATTCAATTTTACGGAATCTCTAAACACCCTGTCAGCAATGATTACTTTATTGTAAAACAATTTCATAAAAATGCTTCATCATTAACAGATTACATTTCTCATAACTTCAATAATTTAAACTGGGAGATGAAATTGCATTTACTACTTTACCTTTCCGAAGATTTAAAAGCATTACACAATGCTGGATATGTTCATAGATATTATAAGCATCCATCTAGCATATTAGTAGTTAATGAGAGCTATTGTGCAATAGAAACATTTTTGGAATGTAAAGCTCTACCTTTATATACAGATGAGATGGATGGATGGTATTCTTATAAGGCAACAGAAATTTTGGTTCGACAACCTTATACAAAAGCATGTGATATTTATTCATTTGGAATGATCATGCATGCTATTGGAACTGGAAAAATTCCTCCTTATTACTTCCCATCACGTTTTAATCATTTTAGTCGAGATATGAGTTATGATATTTGTTTTGGATTAAGACCACATATTCCGGATAATATCCCAAAAAGTTTCAAAAACTTAGTAGAAAGATGTTGGAATACTGAACCAGATTTACGTCCTAATATTCATGAAGTACACAATACTTTATTGAATTTATGGACGTCAATTTATCACAACAAATACTCAACTTCATTAAATTTGATGTGTTTAGATTTTTCTGCTGCGGACAACAATAAAGATTATTCTGACTCCAATACTCAAGAAATAATTACTAAAAGAGCAGTAAGTAGTGATTTAGAAACATCAGAAATGATCAAATATATTGAAGAAAATAGTTTAGTTAAAGTTTTTAGTATTGATAAATTAACAATGATGACTCCTATTAATAATGACCATTTTTGCAAGATTTCAAAAGCTACTTTGAAAACAGAAAAAACAGATATTATAGTTGCTTGTAAAAGATTTAAAAGTACCTTATTAGATAAAACCTTCCTTCATGAATTAAAAATGCAACATAAAAAATTATATTTTTGCTTAAGAATTCTACGTGTATTAGGCATAAGTTTAGGTAAGTTTTTTTAGCTCAAGTATTTTTATTGCTTTTAACAAATTCTCATTTGTTATTTATTTGCAGATGAAAATACTAAAGAATACTTGCTCGTTATGCAATATGCTGATGGTAGAAATTTACTCCAGTATCTTAAAGGTCATTTTTTAGAATTAACTTGGGATGATAAATTAAAATTTGCATATCAAATTACTGAAGGTATTAAATATCTTCATGATGAAGATGTTCTTCATCAAAATTTACATTCTAAAAATATATTAATACATAGAAAAGAAGTCAAGATTATACTTGATATTGCAAAAAGTACAGAATCTGATTATTTGAATGAAATGATTCCATATATTGATCCCAAAATTTTAGATGATCGGTCTTATGAATATGATAAGAAATCAGATATTTATAGTTTAGGAGTTCTTATGTGGGAATTATCTAGTGGTAGACCTCCCTTTATTTATAGTGAGACAGAGAAATCTTTAGAAATTCAATTAATAATAAGTGGTCATAGAGAAGAATTAATTCCTAATACCCCTAATGAATACTCGGACTTATATAAATCATGTTGGAATCCTGAACCAAGTGAAAGACCATCTATTAATAAAGTTTTTAGTAAATTAGGAAAAGTGTTATACACTCAAATAAAAACAAATTTGAAGCCAGAAGAATTGATCAATTCCATTAGAAATAATTATTTAGCTATAGTTGTTAATATAGATGAATTATCAAATATTGATGAAAATGCTACTTGGAAAAAAAAAGACTGTTCCTTTCCAGTAATTTGTAAAAAATATAAATGTGTCCAATTAAATGAAGCTTTCATTCACAAATTAAAGATGTATAGAAAATTCAATTTCTGTTCAAGAATTGTACGTATATTTGGTATAAGTTTAGGTAAGCTCATATACTGTAATCGTAAATATTATTGTTGTTTATATTTATATAATGAATATTCATTTATTATTATTTTATTTGCAGATATAAATGCTAATAAATTTTTACTGATTATGCAACATGCTAATGGTGGAAATTTACGCCAGTATCTCAAGGATCATTTTTCAAAATTAACTTGGGATGATAAAATGAAGTTAGCATATCAAATTCTGAAGGAATAAAATTTCTTCATGATGCAGATATTATTCATCAAAATTTGCACCCTAAAAATATAGTAATACACAAAAAAGAAGCTAAAATTATGCTTGATATTGTAAAAAGTATAGAAACTGATTATTTGAATAATTATGAAATGATTTCATATATTGATCCTAAATTTCTAGAAAACTATTCTTATGAACTTGATAAGAAATCGGATATATATAGTTTAGGAGTTCTTATGTGGGAATTATCTAGTGGTCATCCTCCTGAAGCTGAAAATATTTCAAAAAATCAAATAATTAATGATTATAGAGAAACCCGAATTCCTAATACCCCTAAAGAATACTTTAATTTATACGAATCATGTTGGCATTCTGAGCCAAATGCAAGACCAACAATTAATCAAATTTTTAATAAATTAGAAGTAATGAATAAAAATTCAGGGTTAGAGATGTTTGATTTTATTATAAAAAATAAATTAGTTAAAGTTATTGATAAAAGTGAATTATCAGATATGAAAAATATTGATGGAGGTCATTTTGGCATTATATCAAAAGCCAAATGGAAAAAAACAAATAATTATGTTATTTGTAAAAGATTAAAAAATAATGAATCAATTAGTAATAAGCCAACTGAAGCTTTTATTCATGAATTAAAAATGCATGGACGACTGAATTTTTGTCAAAGAATAATACGTATTTTAGGTATAAGTTTAGGTAAGCTCATATCAAATTATCAATATTATTCGAATTGTAATAAATTAAATTTTATATTTTATTTATAGATGAAGAAACAAAAGAGAATTTACTCATAACAGAGTATGCTGATGGTGGAAATTTACGGATGTATCTTAAGGATCATCCAGAATTAACTTGGGATGATAGAATCAAGTTGGCTTATCAGATTACTGAAGGAATAAAATTTCTTCAGGGAGAAAAGATTCTTCATCGTGATTTACACTCTGGAAATATAGTAGTACACCAAGGAGAAGCTAAAATTATTGATCTTGGTATTGCAAAAAGTATGGAAACTCAAACAAATATTCATTCGGGTGTATTTGGAGTAATTGCGTATGTTGATCCTAAACGATTAGAGAATTATTTATATGAATACAATGAAAAGTCTGATATTTATAGTTTAGGCGTTCTTATGTGGGAAATATCTAGTGGTAAACCTCCTTTTGCTGACGGAAATATTAGTGAAAATCTTTTAAAGTATGATTTAATAAATGGACATAGGGAAGAACCAGTACCTGATACACCTGACAAATACTTGAAATTATATAAATCATGTTGGGAACCTGAACCAAACAAAAGACCATCAATTAATCAAGTTTTTAGTAAATTAGTTAAATTAGGAAGAGAGATGAGTATTCAAGACTTTCAAGATATCAAATGTGATGATGATGATATGCAAAGTAAGAACGTTTAACTTGCAATAATAATTTTTACTAAAAAGACATTAATTATTAACGCGATAAATAATTTTTTAAATTTTATTTTATAAATAATTTATTTATTGTATGATAAATTAATTATTAGGCATTCAAGATAATGACAACAATACTGATGCACAAGGTAAAAATTATTATTTTAAAATAATTAAAATTATAATAAGTAGTAATTTCCTTTTTTTAATAATAAATTTCTACAAAAATAACTACAGCAGCAAATATTAATGGTGAAGCAGGTAATCGATCATATTACTCTTTGTTTTGAATTTTTTTTTATAATTTCTAATAAATTATTTGCATAATTAAATTTATAAAAGATGATAATTATGATCTAGACGGTAAGTTTATTCACAATAACTTTATTATTTTAAAATATATAGAATAAATAATTCACTTTGTTTTTTTTTAGTTCCCAATGGCACTATTTGATTCAAATGATTAAAATAACTATAGATTTGATCATTATACTCTGTAAGTTCATAATTTTTATTCAGTAAAGTCATTAATTAAATACAGTATATATAGTAGATTACTATTAAAAATAATATATTTTAACTTTTTTGGGTGATCAGCATAATAATCTTTATAAATGTAAACTTTAGATTCGATGTTTATATATATTTACTTACAAATTTATGAAAATAAAATTTGATTTAAAATCAGATTGAATGAAAATAAAGTAAAAAACAGAAGCATCTGATTATTTGATGAGATTAACCTCGCTACTTACTTTGATCTCATGCAAACTTAAATAAATTGATTCTATTAATAGTAGAGAATTGTCAGTTGGAACGTTTAAACGAATCATATATTTATTAACCGCTCTGAAATTTGTAAATTTACAAACATATACACAAGTCATATTGTTTTAATTTTTGATTGTAGGAAAAAAAAGAAATGAAAATCTATAATTTTTTAGATAAATTACAATTAGGGATGTAATTACAATTGATTATTGCTACAAAGTCAATTGATAATACTGAATAAATTTAATATGAAATAAAGTTTCTGGCCTATTTGCTAATAAAGAAATACTAAAGAAATAGTATCAAAGTCACATGATAAAAATAATACATACAAAGGTCATATGACAAAAATGTATATTAATTCCGGATTATAGGAATTCTCTGAAGTGTAAGTTCATCATATCTTTGATGGACAAGGACAAAAGATACACGATAGTTTACTTTAGTTCGCAGGAAGACCTTAATAATTTATAAAAGCCGAGCACCATTGGAAATCGCACACTCTGACCAAACAATCTAAAAAGTCCAATAAGGACAAAAAGCAAAACTCGACGTCAAGCAAGGGGAAGACCACGGGTACACAACCAAAGTCTTTGACACGTTCGCGCAATAAATCCAAACCTCAACAAAGGACTGATGACACGTGTTCCTTGCTAACACAAATCCTGAAACTTCTGGTGAAATAGACCGTCAAGTAAAATAGGACCCATGGCAGATGTTGTCTCGGATTTTTTTTCAGCTTTCGCTTTTTTTATTTTCCCCTCTTTTTTCTCATATTCCTGGTCCCAGTGCGTTATTTTTTTTTCTTTTTCTTGGTTCAGGTGGTCCTTCCCTCAGGGAGGATCATCATGGTTCATTCATTTCGATAACCAAGGTGAACACTGTCATTTCTTGGCAGTTTGGCTCACAGTCTCTGGAAATTGCTTGTGGTTCTATTATATACGTTGAAATAAAAAATAAAAAAAATAATATCCAATTGTACCAGTTTGGTTATCCAAAACATTTGATGATCTGCAAGATCAAAAACACTTATAACGAATTTCACGATATAGTGAATCTTTAATGTGGCATGCATTTATTTATATGAAAATAAATTTGTTATACTGAATTTTACTAATAAAATGCAGTATAACATGAACGAAGAAAAACTTATAACTTATAAATTCATTTATGTAAGTGACCCTTTTATAACGAATCTTTTTTTAATATAACAGATTTTTGCAAGACAACTTTTAATATAAAGGGCAGTTTGATCTTAGTTTTATGAAGTTTTCTCAAATAAGTAATTTTACCACTTTTAATTTGTTTTACCAAAAGATGGATGATTATGTTTTGAAGTTTCATGAGCATGATGTTCTACAAATGTATTGATTACTTCTATTTTACTGCATTATACCAAATTTTTCCGCTATGTGCACGAATACAATACTGAAACGCTTCTTGCTCGAAGAGACTGACACCTGGGGAAAAAGTAGATCAAAAATATAAAAAGACCGAAGAAATTCCTAATCCTTTCGCGGTCTCAAAGAAGATATAAAAGAAGGTAAAAAGCGGGTTATAGGTAAACAAGGTGACAGAAGTAAAGCGGAAGAAGAAGAGAGTGACGAAGAAGAGTGGACAGTAAGTATCAACAAAAAAAGAGGAGGTAAACCTGGAAGTTATGGAAAAGGTAGAGGAGGTAGACGTAAACACATTAACAAGTAGTTTCATTGTAGTTGAGAAGTATTTTAAGTTAGACGTGTGGGGACTAAGCAAGAGATTTTGGTACTTGACGCCATCAATTTCAATGTATTTCTTTCGTTTAATCTGTAATTTGTTCTTAATCGCACTTACATAATAAAGAAATGCGTTTACGCGAGTTGTCAAAAAAAAAAAAATTCCGCTATAACGAATAATTCGTTATCAGTTATAGCATTAACGTATTACTGCTGTTTTCATAAGACCTGAGACAAAATAAATTTTTGAACCTGACATTTTTATGGGCACGTGATCCATGATTTGTAAAATAACAACTGAACCGCAGGTCTTATGGTCGCCTACCGATTGTAAATCACGTTAAATCACGTGTAATTAAGCACTTGTTTTTACAGTATATCAAAAATTCCTTAGTTGTCAAAAAAAACTAATCTAGGTAATTATTAGAAAACTCTTCTGGACGATCATTCAGACCAAAAATTCACAGGAAGAAAAAATTTAAAAAATACTTTGTTTTCTAATAAAAATACTTTTAAAAAAGTCAAGGAAATGGAGTCATACCTACACCAGGACGAGTTCGACTCAAAAATACTAAGGGAAGTCAGCACTTTGGTGAATAAAAATTTCAAAAATGCAGAAACAAGGTCGTCAGAAAATTTGCAAGGCGAGCTTGATAAAATTTTTTTCAGAACGCTGCGAACACATAAAGTAATAGCAGATATAAGTGAAACTACGGGGATAAAGGGAGAGATAGTGAAACTACTCTTAAGAGGTTGCTTAAGATATGCATATAGAGAATATGATAATGACGTTAAACAGATAGGAAAACAAAATACTAGGCTTCGTTCATGGCTGCGCCAGGCGCAGCAAAAAAATCAGCCACATGAAGAAGTACCAAAAAAAGTAAATGATAGTAAGTTTAAAGAACCTATCAAAATTCAGAATGAACAAAGAAAAGTTGCAAAAAAGAAAGAACGTGGTAAAGAAAAAGTTAAGGAAATTGCACTACCTGAACCGGTTGATCAACAGCCGATCGTAAAAAATTCAAGGGGCGTATGTGCAACATCACGTGACATAATGTTTTACGATATACCAGCGCGGTATAGTGAAAATGAAGTGGTTTCAGCCATTAAAAATATAGGTAATGTCCATAGAATAAGGATTAAAAAGCACTACAAATACCAATCGGTGAGAGCTGAAATCAACTTATTTGAGGAATATGAAAGTGAGTCTGTTAGAGAAACATGGAAGGTATAACTCTTAATTGGAAATAGTGAAAAGAGACAAACCGCGATGCAAGTTCGTTGGTTTCCAGGACAAAGTACAGTTAAATCTATAAAAGAAAAATGTAAGTGGAAGGCATACAAAATAATTCGTTCGAGTTATTATCAAGATGTAGCTAGAAAAAATTACTCTTTTAAGTACGGCAAAATGGCGCGTTTTGGAAAAAATTTAGTATTTCTTGCATACTTTAAAGACAAAGATCAGTTGGACGCAGCTATGGCATTAGACAAAGGAACAGACGATACTTGGATTATTCATGGTAAGGGTTTGGGCAATCAATCGGCAGAGATCTCAAAAAGGGTCTCAAGTAGAGATTTGGTCAGCACTACGCCAAGAAATAATGGAAAAGCAATGCCTGCAACAAAAGAACAAGCTATGGCCACGTCGACAATTATAGATAACGTTAGTACAGATGAGGTGGTTGACGTAGTAAATAAATATAGGAAAAATTTATTAGATGAAGTTCCACAAAATATCACGTCAACATCAATAAAAGATTACGCCTCGCCAGAGAAAGTTGTAGACATAGTATTGGATTTAAGAGCAGAAATAAATAAAGAGTTGTCACAGGATGAAAAAGATGACGAAAAATGGATTGACCGATGTAGAAATGGATATGCCGTGCTAGTTACGGATTTAAAAGAAAGAAAGAAGAAGATGGAGGAAGCAAGGGTGGAACGTGATACGCTACAAAAGAAAGTGGACGAAGCTCAAAACAAAGAGCAAGAAACAAAATCCACCAAAAATATTAAACAGGTATCACCAATAGAATTACACGAGTATAAATCAATAAATGAAACATGTAGCAAGAGGCTAGGTGAAAAAAAGAAAGAAAAGATTTTTACTCCAGAATATATAAAGTGACTAGATGGGATGATAGATACTTACAAGAAGGTGTTAAAAGAAGCAAAAGAAGCTGCAGAACAACGGAAATGCTTAAGAAAGAAACAAGGTGACCGTGTAATGGAGGAAGAGGGAATAGAAAGTGATAGTGATGAAGATGAAGAAGATCAAATGGTGGTAAGTACAGAATCGAATAACAAAAGAGGAGGAAAACCAGGTAGTCGCGGACAAGGTAGAGGAGGTAGACGTAGATTAGTTAAAAAGAAGTAGTTTCACTTAATATAGACATTGTATAGTGTAAATAGGTAAATATAATTTATAGATAGATAGTTTTTCTTGTAGTTGTGTGGTACTTTAAGGGGATCGTGGGTTGACCGAGCGGTAGGCCGAAGCGCCCGGTATGGAGAGGTTGAATCAGTGCTTGCACTGGTTACTTCAATGTGATTCTTCAGGTTGATTTTGTAAATGGTGCGCTTTTTACGAATTTAATAAAGAGGTTTCACATTTACGCGAGTGAAAAAAAAAAAAAAAAAAAAACTAATCTAATAAAAAATGTAATTATGTATTAATCAAAAAACCACCTTTTAACAAAAATAACGAACTAGCAAGTAAATTTATAACTCACAAATTAATGAAATAAATAATGCAAATAATAATTTTGGACTTTTTATCAAAATTTGATTATTCCTTATCGTTATACGTTATGTGCTATAAACTTATGGCAAGGTTAAAAAAAAATCTGCTGTACTTGATGAAAAGAAAAGGATATTAAAAGAAAGCAAAAGATAATGAATTAACAATAGAGAACATAACTGCAGTTGCAGATTGGAGAGGAAATAACAACACACGTTGATTTTAAAGAAGGTTTAGTGAAAATGAGGAACATTGAGAAGGAGAATTTACTGATGAACTGATGAAACGTATAGATCAGAAACTAGTGAGGAAGATGAAAATTCCGGGGAGGATGATGAATTATCAGAAATTTCTTTTAAATCAAAAGCTAAAAACAGTCCTGCAAAACGGGATAAAACAATTCTTAGACATTTTTAAAAGAATTAAATGAATATATCAAGCAACAACTAGATCAATGGATCGAATATAATGATTATATTATCAGGTAAATGATAAGAGTTTAGGTACTCAACTATTAGATGAAAAGGACTGGGAAGTTTTTTATTGGAATATCAAAATTCAATTCACATAATAAGGAGACGCTATAATTAGGTCTAATGAAAATGAAAATGATAAAATTTATACATGAAGGTATATGATATAATATTAATACATAATAATAATTTATGCTTATAATTACTTTATTCAGGAAAATGGTGACATAACTAATACTACTGATGCTACTACCGATACTGCACAATCATCAAGAAAGAAAAAGGAAAGATCAAATACTATTTCAAAAGAAATGAATCTTTCTGATGAAAGAACTAAAATAGCGACAAATAATGTCGTTAACTCAATAAAATTATTGTAACGAATATGATAGGGCGTGTTACGACTGTTACGTTATCGGATCACGTCATTTACCTTAACACCACAATATTTACCTGGGCCGCATCAATAGTAAGTTTTTATTTATAACATTTAAATTTATATTTATTTTTCTTGTTTGTGTAGTATATATTTAATATTAAAACTTATAAACAATAATAATTACAAAATTTAATTTAGGAACATAATTTAGCAACCCACCATATTGGTAATAAAACGATAAAAAGTAATAAAAACATTTCATCCCCACCTTGAGCATCTGTACCACAACATACTTTGTTTTTGCTCTTCTAACTAATTTTTTTCTAACAAAGATATAATAAATATTTTTTTTCAAATCAATGATCTTTTTATTATGTATATTCTGCTCTTTACAAATAAATTAGGTATCTAATAAAAATTTTCGCCTATAATGATTTTTAAAATCTTTTCTATATAGTTTTAATTAAAGTAAATTGATTTTTCAAAATAAGATTCGCCATCATAGGCGTTATCTATGAAAATGCTGCTATAATAGAAAATTCAGGATCAGGACAAGTTTCCATAAAATCCTTATTTCTTTTAATCCAACTTTTTACTGTAGAAAATGCTAATTTTATTGGATTGAAATCAAGAAAGTACGGGAAAAAAATAATACCCTACAACCAACACTTTTAATTACATTGATCAATTATTCATCATGGTGTATTTTAGCGTTACCCATCACCAATACACTGTTCTTTCCAGGGCAAGGATTTATAAAAGGTGACTATAAAATTAAAAATAATTAGAAATTAAGAAATTAAATCATCAGAAAAACTATACATTTGCACAAACGAAACGTGATCACAAACGTGATCGCAAAGTTATACGATCGCGAAAAATAAAAAAAATACTTACAATTTGAGATAAAACAAAAGAACAAAATCTCTCTTTAGGACAACGACCTTTCATAATTTCACATGCAATGAATCCATCTAATGTAAACGCAGGTAAAATAGTATACCTAACGCCTCTCAAAAAAACAATCTTTTGAGATATTCTCTGATTTTTAAATGAATATCCATAAGTCCGTGATAAAGATCTTTCATCTTTAGAAGTTTCATCCAAAAAAATCAATTGTTCTGCTTGATATTCTGTACCATCAGTAAAAATATAATCAGCTCTTAGCAATTCTTTCTTTTACAGCGTTTCCAACAAGATTTTTAAAATAATAATGGATTGATTAATAATTTTAACAATTTTATAATAGTTAAAATATACGAAAAATACAATATATACTTAACCTTCTTTCTTGCTATTCCACAATATTTTAAAGATCTCTAATCTCCATAAATCGGGTATAGAAAATTTTTTTCCAGTTTATTAATCATCTCTCCAACAATTTCATCCAAAATAATATCTTGTAAAAATTTGTTATAAAGTTATTTATAATAACCAACCCTCATATCAGATCCACTAAAAATTTTTCTCCCTTCTACTTGTTGCAAAAATGGATTTGTTACGCACCTACATTTGATAACATTTAAGAATTCATATTTATATATATATATAGCGTACTGTTGGAATAAAAATTTTAGCAGTTGTGAAATTTCTTATAAATTATAGTCGTCACAAAATAAATACACTACCCTCCACCTTAAATCCTCGCTTATAATACGTCCCATTCCCTGAACAACAACTTTGATTAAGCTAATTAAAGTGTGATTCTTGTGTGAGCTTATACAGTATTGTAGTTTTGGACTTTTGGTATGATAAAGTAATTAAAGTATGGTTTTGAAGGTAAAACTATAAGTATAGAGTTTATTTTATAATAAAGAATAAGTGAAACTTGCCAATATTATTTAAATACATTATTTTTTAGTTTCATGAACGTAAACCATTAAAAAATTTTAGGATTAGATTAACCATATCGGCTAACTATCAAAATTGGGCCTAATTTTATATAGTAATTTTGATCAACGTTACACAGCTACAATTAGTAAAAAAAAAAATTCTCATGATCAAATTTAGCGAACGCACCCTTAAAAAAAAAATAACATATTAAAAAACGCGTCTAACCGATGAGCGCAGTCTAAAACCGATGAGTTTGAGTAGTGGAAGACAAGTAGAAGGCAATTGGCATCTCGCAATTTCGAATGTTACCAGTTATTAGTTGTAAATAAAATTAGTTTTTGCAAAACTATTTTTTATTTTTATTAAAATATTTTATATTTTTTTCAGATTCAATTACTAATATGTCAACACTTACAACGTCTTTTACTACTTCTGCATCAGAATTTATCTGTCCTACTTGTCAAAAAAGATATAAGAAACAAGGTGGACTTTCACGGCATTTGAGTATTGTGAAAAGATATAATATTTCACATAGTGATTTGGATAAATTACCAGAAACAAATAATGAAAAATTCAAAAGTATTCTGGTTTATTTAATTCACCGCAAACTTCCACATGGATTTAAAAAGGGAGGTCGTCAATTAGTGTCGCTTGCATGTACTGAACATCAGTTTTTTGATATTTTCAAAGGGTATATCCATCATCATAGCAATAGAAATGTCTACAAGTGTATTTTCTGAGGATCTGCTGGATATCAAATATTAAGTGAAATCTTGAATAATCCATTGTGGGGTCGAAAATTTTATGATGAAGAACAACAAACTTATGTTGTTTTATTTAATGATCCACCTGAGCATTTGAAAAATAATCCACTGGCTATTGCAACTCGTTGTGCTACTGAAAGTATAGCCACTCATAGACGCAAATCTAGATATAATCCTGGAGAAGTTATTATTGAATGGAAAATTAAAGGTGAAAAAGATGCAAAAGAGAATTATTGTGAAGCAGGATTTATATACATACATTTTTGGGTGAGACAAATCTAAAATTTTATTGTAATAGAAAAAAAAATTATATACATATGTTTAGAATTTTTTCTTTTAATTAAAGACAATTTTTTCAATGTATATAAAATGTATTAAAAGAAATTATAAAATGTGAATATATTGAGGTTTTGGATAGGAAAGAGAGATGTTATTTTGAGTATAAAATAAAAGTCGGTTTTCATGTTCCAAAATTTCACAAATTGCTGATGTTTTATTTTAAAATTTTCCGCCATTCTTGAGAGTTTTCTTAAAAAAATAACAGACATGATCGTGATTCTTTTTTTCAACAGCACTACACGAAAATGCGTTTAATCCCCACCTTTTATGGATAAGCATAAATTCCCAAACATGTGATACTAAAACATGTATATAAGGGGTTATATCTGATGATCGATAAAGTCCTTGTTCTAAAATAGTATTAGTTTTGGAATCTATTACCGTTTTTTTCAAAAATAATTCACACCATACTTTTGCTTTTAAACGAAAATATTGTGGATCTGTTGTTTTTTCTCCTAAAAGATCATATAATTCAGCAAATCCATCCCACAAACTTTTAATTAATGCGGCTCGTTCTGGATCAAAAAGTTTTGTCAAATTAAAGTTTCGAAGAACACAAAGCTTATCATCACCCATTAAGGAAGTGTAATTCCAATTATTAGTACCATGAATATTCCAAAACTCAAACCTGATTTTTAAATTTTCCATCTCCTTAATTATAATATTCCGAGTTATGTCATTAAATAATCCCTCATTTTTGATTTCTTGTAAAACTAACTCCCATAAACGGTCAGTAATACGTAACATTATATGAAGTTTATCTGGAACATGATTTTTAAGTGAAATCATATTGAAAAGTGGAGGTAATTTATGACCAGGGTATGCTGTTGGATTTTCATTTAAACTACTCATTGATTTACTAATTGTCCAGTCATTTTGCCCATTTCCGCGTTGATTTTTTGTTATTTCACACCATGGGCAAAAATTATTGGAATTTGCAGCATTAAAACCTAAACAGGTAGCGAGAAATTTCCAATCTGAGCTAAAAAAAAACTCAAAATTTCAAAGAGTATTATTGATAACTATTCCTACATTACTCAGTTCTTGCAATTCCTGAGTAAGAGCATTTGCTGCAACTTTTAGAGTTGGATAATTTTCACTTCCCGGAAATAAGATAGTTGTATAATGGTAATTGGGCTTACAAATGTTTATTGAATCATCCAATAGTGCTAAGGTAATCATCACATGCTTCACCTTTCATCCTACGTTCCGCCCATCACCAGATATTCGAAGATGAATAGTTGGTATTGCAGGATCTAATATTCCCTTTTCAACATATAATGGTATTATAAACTCAAGAATTTTTTTAACACTTCGGTAAGCACCTTTTCCAGTTGCATTAATAACTTGTTCAATAATTAATGGATCAGTTATATCAGGTTCTTCCAAAAATCCTTCTTGCATAATGGTAGAATTTAAATCAATGAAATTAATGGGTATTAATTCTTCCATATATGCATTAATCTCTTGACGGGTTTGAGAAATAGCATATTCTCGTGGTAATATTGATTCTACAGCTGCAAGATGAAGATATGCATCACGAGGTATATTTTCTAAGTCTTGTACATATGCAATTGATTGCAATTTTTGTTTTTTTTTAACATAATTCTCATCACCAAATGTTACATGGTATTCTTTATTTTCTACAGTAAAATCTATAGCCTTTAAAACTACACGATCTTTGGGATTGTAAAAATCTTTAATTGTATTTTCAAAGTGCACCTGTTCTTTTTTTGCAAGACCTTTTGCACGTTTAATTTGTGTAGTTTTGCTTGATTCTTTATGAAGTTTCAATTCACGTGGTCTACCTTTGCAATTTCTATTAATGCATTTTAATTGAAGTCCAAAAAGATGAACTCCAGAAACAGCAGTTCTCCTATCCGGTGTTATAATCTAATAAAGTATGTATATATTAGAATACCTTCTTTTATGATTTTTTTTAAAATTTTCTAAATAATAAACATATAATAACTTACTTTGTGTAGTTCAACAGAAGCATCAAATGGTGATTGAGCTGAAAAAACTTGATATTGTAAATTATCTCCAAAACAAATTAAGTAATGAGGTTTTTCTTCTACATAGTAAATAGAACATTGAATAGTACAGCTGTTATTAGCCCGACCCCAGGTAGTTTTAATAGTATAATTATCAGGTATAGGAAAATAATTAGGCGCTTCAGTATAATTCACAGCCGGTGGGTAGATACCTTCTTGAATGACAATATAAACAAATTTTCGGTCACCATAGTATATTATTTCAGGTGAAATAGGGTAATTTTCTTCTTCATAAGGTCTTTGCTGATTAGAATTTGACATTTAGAAAGTAACAGTTTTTTTGACGCGTTAAAAAAAATTAACATGATATAAAAAATTGTACAACGGATCTACAAAAATGTGATAAGTACGGTAATTAAAATTCAGTACGAGTCTCAATATCATATTTCTTTACTGCTATAAGAGAAAAATCGAAACAATATATAAAAAATTTTGTGTCATTGGTGTTACCATAATGTCAGGTGATTTGACTATCATTATGATTGGTTTACAAAATTTGGGGTTATCTCAAAAATTTAGGGTTAGGGTATAGATTAGCGCATATGCGATTGCGATTTTCTGATCATTTTGTTTAAAGAACCTTATAAAAATCAAATGAAAGTGATCAAAGCTAAACTCATAAGACAATTTATAATTTATTATAATTTACAAATATTAAATTAAATACAAGTTAAATACGAATTAATAGTTTTTCTTAAATATAATTGATATTGATTTTAATATTCATATTTCATTAGTAATATATGCTGATATTACGTTCATTTATTAGACAGCGATATAAATTTAGGCTCAATATTAATGTTTATATGACTAGTTAAATCTTTTCTTAAAGCGATCAAAGGATTGATCAATATTTACGAGATTAAGAAAAGCAAAAAGGTTTAATTATAAAATCGGAAAAGATTTGAAAGTCGGCAGTATATCGCAAGTGAAAATCAAATAAAGGGTTATGTATTAAAAATCATATTTTTTTTTACATTTTTTTTATTTAAATTAGAATGTATAAAAAAATTATGTATTCAAAATATAACCTTTCGAATAAACCTAACCTTTCCTAAAAAAGTTAGTGTTTAAACTAAAAATGAATTTTTTATGCTACAATAAATCACATGACATTCCATATGTATAAGCGATAACAAGTGATCTTCATGTATTTTTCTTCTCACTTGGCAACCTTATGGGTTGAAAGAAAAATACGGATTAGTGCTTGTCATTTAATTGATTTTATTTTTTTCCGGTGGGGTACCTGTTCCTCTATTGGTAGTAATTCAGGATCAGTCTATATAACAAGAAGTATGGGTCCGTCCAGATCTTTGGGTGGATGATGGACTAAAGGTTGGGCAAGGTCTTTTAGATTCTATGTTCTCTTAAATAGTCTTTCCGGCTTCACATAAAATAAATAAATAAATAAATAAAATATTTTTCTTCTCACTTTTACGATTAACCGACGCTTATCAGTTTGATTTTGTAATTATCATAATAATTCAAAGAACAAGATCAATTCATCCATTTATTAATGTTTACAAAGTGGTTACAAAGTCACCACACTTTACGTTAAACATAATAAAGGTAGTTAAGTTATCTAACTTTTTTTATTATTTATTTATTTCAAAAGTCGAATTTTCTGAATTCAAATTATTTGATTTACTAATAAAGATAATTATTCTCCTAAAAAAAATTTTTTGAACAGAGATGGTCCTTTAGAAAATGGACATTCTTTAATGTGCAAACTTTCCGACATCTTAAAAACACAAGTTTAATAATACATTGTCATCATCATATTAATGAATAATTATTATCGAGGAAAATGTAATAACAAGTTGTATTTGCAATTTTAGTGGATGTAAAGAAGAAATTTATTAGGAACATTTCTTTGGTTATTAGTACCATATCGTATAATAATTATAATGATAAGGATAGGATTTTTATATTAGAGAAATTATATATTAATTCAATCCACTTGGTTATCTTCAAGCAAGACGAAGAGGTTATTTAAGATCAAACCTCAAGAAGTTATTCATCCTTCTACAATAATATATCTAATGTAAGTGAAAAAAAAAAATATTGGAAAGTGTCGTAGTGTCGTAATTCACAAGGCGTAGTACTAATCATTTTCTTAATTTTATATTTCGTGCGATCCATATAATAATCGTACGATTGTTAGACCCAAATTATACTATGGCAGAAAACGAGTGAAATTAACTCAACATTTTTTAAAACAGAAAAAAAAATGTGATTAACTAATGAAATATTTTTTTTTTGTTTAATCGATCAAAGTTGGTCAAGAGAGTTAGTCATTGGATTAGAATTATTCAGCGTTAACGTTAAAGATCCATTAGCATAAGTAAGTCTTTATTAAATTTAAATTAAATTAAAAAGAAAAAAAAAATTTTTTCCCGTTTTTAATCTCTTCTCAATTTTTTTATCAGTTTATACAATTCCAACAAAAGAATCAAAGAATAAATTTACAAATAACAATAGAAGTCCACCAAATATATATAGTAGATATAATAGATTTGAATTGTTAATATCGCCAATATCAATATTGTTCCCATTCGCATGGATGACAGTGGATATTAATGATTTAGATAAAGCGAACTCAATTCGTAGGATACATAGTTTAATTTGGGCAATACGGGTAATGATCTTTTTAATAAGTTGGATTTATAATTGGTATAATTATTATTTATTGTTATATGGGATCGTATTAAAGAATTAAAACGTAAAGAAATTGTTAATACTTCTGATATACAATGGGCCGTTTCTACTCTTAAGACGTGCTGCAATTTATGTAAGTACCACGTTGATTTAAGTGTCACCTAAAAAATTGTTTTTTTCTCAAAATTTCTTTACTTCTTTCTTTCTAGTAATGTTTGCAATTTCTTCATTAGTAATTTTAATAGTGTCATTCACATATGGATATTTTCACCTATCATACATTATTCAATTATAATACGAATATTACATACGAATCGTATGGAATTTTGTAATACCCAATATTACAAATTTTGTTCAATTTCTTTCATATACAAGTTATATATCGCTTCTTTCTTTACTATTTAACCCTCCCGCAACAAGAATAATAATTATTTTTTTTTATAGTAATAAACCGAAATTGGACAATAATTAGTAAATTTGCATTAACGAGTGCAGCAAGAAAAGATGATATAAGAGGGATGGATGATTCCTTACGTGATGATGAATCTTTAATAGGAGGTGGTGGTGACACGATAACAACTACTTCTCACATAAACACAACCACAACTACACCCGCGTTGACATCACAAGTATGAATAATATGGATCATTTTAATTCTAGGCTGAATGATGCTGAAATAAATTCAATGTTAAATAATACTTAATAAATTAAACCTAGTATTGAAACAAATCATAATGAAGCGTATAAAAATTAAATTCAAGGAGATCTTTACCAAGATCTAATCTAGTTATAGATTTTAACGTCTACTATTGGAGAATATTCAAGTGCTGAAGAGACTCAAGAGAGTAATTCAATACATCCATCATTTTTACACCAAAACATGATTGTTCCTATTTCCAGATTGATTAGATAGTACTATTTTTAGTAATGTTAGTAATTGTAAACATAAAAATAGCAGCATTATAAAAATAAGTGCGAGAACAAATACGAAATTACGAATACTAGTATTAATGATAATGATACTTCGAGTAATTTATAAGATTTCAGTACACATTAAACATCTAAAATCATAACAGATAATTGCTGAAGAAATTCTGATGTAACTCATCGATCAATCATGACATCGGCAAGTATAGTATGTCTCATGAAATAATCTACTCAACAATATGATTTGTAAAATACTACTGCTGCGTATGTATAGTAAATAATTATTGTATGATAATTTATTAAACTCTTACACGAAAAATATTATTATTATCTTGCTCATTGTTTCACGCGAAAAATATACTATAACTATGGATATTGATTTTGCTTATAGAGAAGACGTCATTTATGAAAAGGATCTTATTGAGGTATTGTTATGTGAATATTTATAGTAATCAAAGATAATAATAATAAAATGTTAGAACAAACTTTCTTCTTTATTAACTTCTTCACAATCACTTGGCTATAAAAATAAGTGGGCTTTAAAGCTTAAAGAGCTTGAATATCGGGAAAAAGATTTAACTTTTAGCATTAAAAGAACGTGAACTTGCTTTAAGGGAACGTGAAACAAAAATAATTGTGAAATGGATAGTTAGTTGAAATTGGCTAATTAAGAATTAGTATTAACTACTGAGCAGTCACCCGTTGCTTCGCACTGGGACCAATGAGTTTGTTTAAATAGAAAAATTTAGTATTATAATGTAATACTAAGTAAATTAAAGATGGTTGCAGTAGTTTTTTGTTTATAATTAGGAATTTAATATAGGTATTAATTAGTTGACAAAGAACAATAAATAACATGTATTAAATTATATTTATAATATTAGAATGATATCAATTATATTTACAATAATGTAGTTATTTATATATATTAATGATTTGACGTTTGAGTGTAGAATGAAATTTGGATTAATTAAGGAATCATGAAAAAATAATTATCAATAAAAATTGATTAATTTTTTAGAAGCCCTATAAAAAAAGAAAATTCAGAATTTGTCCTGAAAAGTATGGAAAATGTCCAGAAATTTTCTGTGCGTCCGGAAAACATTTGGAAACGGTCACGTTTTGGAACACTTTCCGGACGCACAAATTCCAGACATTTTCTTGACACTCCAGAATTTGTCCAGAATTTGTCCAGAATCGAGTGTCCAGAAAATGTTCCCAAACATGGCCGTTTCCAAATGTTTTCCGGACGCATGAAAAATTTCCGGACATTTTCCATACTTTTCAGGACAAATTCCGAATTTTCTTTTTTTATAGGAAAGTATTTTCGAAAAAACTTTAATATTATGGAAATACTACAAATATTTTTATTAATTAATTATAAATTTTATAATTATTTCTTATTATTTTATTCTATATTACGTCAATCTTAAACTTATAACCAATTTAGGAAAGATATTTGAACATTTAAATTTATTAGAATCTGTTCATTTCATTTATTATTATTCTTTTGATACTCATTTTACTTGCTAAATTATTAATTTAATTAAACTATTTGAATTAAAATCTTTATTCAAAAATCTGGCGATTAGGCCAGACAAAAAAAAAAAATTTAGATTCTCGTGACCCGGCCGGGTCAATTTTTCGAAAAATGGAATTTTTTTTTTAAAATTTTTATCACGTAATTTTAAGTTTTTGGCCAATGTACGTAACATATATAAAAAAAATGCCGGCCGGCCATGTCATTTTTAAAATTTTATGTTATGAGTATCTAAAAAATTTTTTTTCCCGGCCTTATTTATTTTTATTATTTTTTTTTTTTTTACAACTCGCGTAAGCGCATTTCTTTATTATGTAAAGTGCAATAGGATAACAAATTACAAAAATTAAACAAAAAGAAACACATTGAAATTGATGACTGCAAGCACCAACAAGCGCTAACAATCTCTCCATACCGGGCGCTTTGGCCTACCGCTCGGTCTCCACATGTACGATCACCTCAAAATACTACTCAACTACAGTTAAATTGTTTGGTAATGTAATGAAACTACTTGTTAATGTGTCTACGTCTACCTCCTCCACCTTTACTATAGCTACCAGGTTTACCTCCTCATTTTTTGTTGATACTTACTGTCCAACCTTCTTCATCACTTTCTTCCTCTTCCGCCTTCTTTTATTTCTTCTTTATCAGAAGATGAGACCGTGAAAGGATTTGGTATCACACCTGTTCTTCTATACTTTTCCGCCACTGTTTCTTTCTCTGTCAGTCTCTTCACGCAAGAAGCGTTTACAGTTTCGTATTCGTGCATCTCAACAGGAGTTACTGGTTTAATACTTTTGTTCTCCACTTTTGCTGCATGTGCTGCTTTAGCTTCTTCCAAAAGTTTCATTTTTGTTGCCCGACCTTATTTAGAGAATTTGAGATATGGATTTGTGTTATAATAATCTATTATTAAATCAACAATTTCTTCAATTAATTAATTAATTATAAAAGATTGTAAAAATATTTGATTTTTATGAATTTGAAAATCAAAACTATTTATCCAGCGTTCAATTAACTGAAAAAAATCTTAATCATCTTTCTACTAACGTCGGTCAATTTCCTACATGTTATATTGATTTTTTTTTAAAAAAAATACTACGGCCTAACGGTTTTAACAAAAATAATTTTTCAGTTTGGGAAAAAAAATTAAACCTAAACGGGAAAAAGAATAAGAAAACAAAACTGAAAGAAAAGGGGAAAATTAACTGAAATTGGATTAGTTGATTGGAATGCACACAGAAAGTTTTTGACCATAAATAGATCAGGCGGTGTCACGGGTTTTAATTATATTTCAAATCCAAACGTACGTCAGATAAATTTTTTTTTAATTATTTAGATTAATAAAAATTCACTTAATATGGCAGTTGAGTATAATTTAATATAAATAAAAAAAATATAAATATAATACTTTTTTCGTTTGAGTATAGTTAAATCATACTCACTCAAATATCGATTTCACATCATACTATACTTACTCGACACTCCTTTTTGTCTTACCGATTACTGACTACTACTACTGTAATAAGTCCCATATAAACATTGAAATAACCCTGATATTAATGATTATTTGAATGCTGATGGAAAAAAAAAAATATTATTAGATTAATGGAAACACATAAATGATCAACTAAGCATCCCGTATCTCCTCTTTTGGAAGAAAAACTTTGTTAATATCTAATTTATAAAGAAGAGTTTCTAGAATAAAAAAAATTATTTATTTTAAATTGTATTAATTTATTTATATACAGTTACCCCTCTCTACAGCAAACCTCGATATAGCGAATAACACGATATAACGGATCATACAGTGTGGTACAGATTTTAAATATGAAAAAAACCTTGATATAACGAAGTTTACTATTTATTTACCATATAACATAGTACGAAGTAAAGTGTATGAATTTCTTATATAAAAATGCCTCTCGATATAACGGATTTTTTTTATAACGAATTTTTTTCAGTTATAACGAAAAATTTCTTTATAATTAAATGTAATTATTAATAAATATTGATGCATTATGACATTAAATATCACCCTGTGTTTTATATTTAAATTATGGATCAGGATTGTATCAGGATCGTATCAGGATTAATAATTCTGGCTATTTTATTTAATATTTAGGCAGAATTACATTAATTTACATTAATTCGGTTGTATTAGGATTCGATGTGAATTGTTATTAATTTATATTTATCACAAGGGTAAGAACACTCCTAGTTAAATTAATATATCATTAATAATTTATTTATTATATAGTCAGTTATTGTTAAACAGCATTCCTACAAAAAAAAGGAATTATAATAAATATTTTTATATAGAACACTTCAGGAAGTATTCCCTATAATAAAAAAATAAAAAAAGAATATTAGTAAATGTTCTTAAACGAAATTAAAAGAAAAAATTGAGTTGTCCCACTTACTTCTTGTCTCAAGCGTCCATTTCGAAGTCCCTACAATAAAAAAAATAAAAAAGAATATTAGTAAATGTTCTTAAACGAAATTAATAAAAAAAATCGAGTTCCCCACTTACTTCTTGTTTCAAGCGTCCATTTCGAAGTCCAGAGAGTTCCCTATAATAAAAAAATAAAAAAAGAACATTAGTAAATGTTTTTAAACGAAATTAATATAAAAAACCCCAGTTCCCACTTACTTCTCATTCTAGGCATCTATTTTGAAGTTTAGAAAGCACCCCTATAAAAAAAAGATTTAAAAAAATGTTAAATTATCGGTAATCAGATCAACAAGTCACATGATCTGTATAACCGATATTCCTATACCGAAGAATTCATTATACAATACCGAATAATTCGTTATAGTGTTAACGAAGTTGCTTATAACGAAGCCCTGATCAGCTGGAACCTAGGGTTCGTTATATCGAGAGGGGACTGTATGTATGTTTTTTATTATTTATCTTTATTTTGATGGTGTGAGTTTTCCTTCAATTTTTTTTTTTTTGATATATTTTCTTTTGTTTGGATTTCTCCAATAATATATACTGTATGTAATACATGCATTTGTATTTAATATAAATATGTAACCACTATACATGCTGCCCAAATTATTTTGGAATGCCATAATTATAATTTGGGATGCCATAATTCATTTAGTTTATATATAATTTACTATGTAAAGTGCCAAAATAATTTGGGATGCCATAATTGAATTTGGGATTTTACTTATAATTATGGCAGCCCAAAATAATTTGGGTGGCATGTATAGTAACCACGATATTTAAAAATAGACAAAATAAACTTTTAATTCTCTTAGAGAATATATGTTATCACATATTAATACTTTCCAAAATAAAATCATTTCACTCACTTTAATTTACGTAAACATTTATTTATTAATATAAATGAGCGTAGTTTTTGTCTTAACATCTGTTATCATATGTTATTTTACCAAGAATATAATTATTATTGAGACAGCTTGTGTTGTCACAGTACTGCGTATACATTTGCAATAAATGGGTTACACAGCATTTTTTATGATTCTTGTAGAACGTCGGTTTTAGACGAGCAGCCTCAGTATTTTCAATTATGAGTGTGTTACTTGTACTCATTATTGGTTTTTGTCTTTGCAATTTAGAATATAAAGAAGAAAAAAAGTATCAGTATAGTGTATTTGAACCAATTCTATAATCGTTAAATTGAGAAATATTATTTGTAAAGTATATTGATTTTGTAGCAAACTTAAGTGTAACAATAAGGATGCACTATCTTATTAAAGTAACCATTACAAGTTAGATTACTTAGAACAATATTAATTTTTTTTTTTTTTGTGATGATATTTATCTATATTTGGTCTTGTACAATATTTTTTTTTTTCTGCATAGTTTAAACTTAGTACAATGGTTGTACAAATCTATTTATATTTTTATATTTATTTTAGGGAAAAAAATATATATATATATTTTTTAAGAATACTGATGAAAGAAAAAATTTTCTCTCTTTATTGTAATCATCGGGACAATAATATATTAACTCAACGTCTTATGCGTAAGAAGACAAATACATCTATACAATAAAGATACTACATCCTGTGGTGACTACAAAACTAAACTTACTAAACAAAGATAAAAAAAGCCTATCTAAATCCTGAAAAAAAGAAAGTTAAAAAGAACTACGTTTACTTTGCTTAACTACAAATTTTTGTTTAACTAAAATTTGTGTATTTTTATTTGAATTTTCCTTATAATTCTGGGATTTTTTATTTGATTAAATTATTCGCATATATAGCCAAAATTAAAATAATACTTATATAATCCAAATTAATTTAGTATGGAAAAAAAGCAGAAGAATTTATGGAAGAGAGTTATTTTCGATGAATATCAGGTAATATCAATTCACATTATTAATAATTAGAGTATATTTGATTTTTATAGTTAAATAATAATTTTTTTTTTTTTTTGATATTATCAGCTCCATGTCACAATTTCTACTATTAATTCAACTACTGAATCAGATGATGCAGATGAAAGAGTAGTTTATCTGGAAGATTTAGAAAAAAGAAAACAAGTATATGGAATATGTGGAGAATGTAATGAACCTGGCACAGGAGAATATTGGTGTCAACCTTGTAATGCTAAAAGATTTAAGGATAACTTTAAAAATTGGACTAGTGGAAATAAAAATATTGATGAGTTTATACAACAATCGCAACTTAATGCTACACATTATTATAAATATTTTGAGTGGATACCTTATGAAAGATTTCAAAATATCACTTATGTTGCCAAAGGTGGTTTTAGTAAGATTTACTCAGCTGAATGGCCTGAAGGACATATTGAGTATTGGGATATTGGAAATCAACAATGGTATAGAAAAGTAAATGATAAATATGTATTGAAACGTTTGATTGATTCTTCTGATATTTGTTCAACTATTTTAAATGTGGTAATTTAATTTATTTAATCTATACTTGCATTTATTCATTAACAAAATTTATTTTATCAATTAGGTTAAAGTTCATCTTCAGATTTATACTTATAATATTGTTCAATGTTACGGAATAACTTTAGACCCAAATACTAAAGATTATATAATGGTATTACATTACTGCAGCGAAGGAAATTGGAGGAATTATATAAATAGTTCTAAGAATTATATAGATTGTAAATTAAGAATTGATATGTTTATGCAAATTGCAAGGGGGCTTTTAGATATTCATAATGCTGGATTAATCCATAAAGATTTTCATTCAGGTAATATATTAATATCTTATAGAGGTTCATTTATAAGTGATTTAGGAATGTGTCAACCAGCAATAAAGCAATCAGTTAAAGAAGAAGGTATTTATGGAGTATTACCATATACGGCACCAGAAGTTTTACATGGATATCAATATACTAAAGCAGCAGATATTTACTCATTTGGAATAATAATGAATGAATTTCTTTCTGAAGAAATTCCTTTTAATGATATTTCTCATAATGAATCCTTAGCTATTAAAATATATAAAGGACTTAGACCAACAATTTCTAAAGATGTACCAAAATTACTTGCAGACCTAATTTCTAAATGTTGGGATACCAAAATAGAAAATAGACCAACTGCTAATGAATTGTATCAGATTTTAGAAAAATGTAATAATGAGATTTGGAATGTTGAATTTAGTAAATATATTCATGATGATAAAAATAGTCAAAATAGTGAAATTTATTCTCAAATAAAAGAATTTGATAAAATTGGAGAGATAAAATTTAATAACAGGTCAAATGAAGATAAATCCAAAATTACTCAAACACATCCACAAGCTATTTATACATCTCGGTTACTTAATCCTTATACTGAAGGACTTGCAATTGATTTTACAGAGTAAGTAATATTCACTTAAATCTTCTTATTTTCAACTTTCTATTAATAAGAAACATTGAAATTTTAAAATATCAATAGGTTAGATGATGAAAAATGATCAGAATTAATTTTACTACAAAAATTATCAACTTATTTTACTTATTTTCTGCTTATTATAAAAAATGTATTTTATTTATTTTTATAAATATTCATTATAAAATCATGTTAAATATGAATTTCATTATATTTTGTTTCAACACTGATATAAAGTATGTGTAAAACTTTTTTAGTTTTTTTGAACAATAAAATTAATACAGTTTTTGAAATGAGTTTTTTGTTGTTATGCATCATCAATTATTCCACTTTCTATGGCTTATTATCATAACTATAAATAAAATTTTTTCATATTTACTTTCTAATCCTGAAGAAAAAAAATAAATTAAATACTTATATATTTACATAATTCATATTATCATGACAGATTATGAAATATCCTAAGCATTACAGTATACTACTTTTGTTAAACTTATGTAAGTTGTCAATAAAGAGAAAGGATATTTATTTATATATAAGTGCATAAAATAAAGGAAATAGACAAAGAAATTTCAAATTACACCATGAATCATACTACAGTATGTTATAATTTCCATGTGAACAAAGTCACGATACAAATTACAGAGACAAACTGTTCGTAAGACTAAAGTAATTTTAAACTAAATCGTGAACCAAACTGCCAAATCTGACAGCACCACCCTGGTGTCAAAAAATAAACCTGTAGAGGGACATGTCTGAACACGTTCCGCCCACTACGCATGAGAGTAAAAGGCTAAGGAAAGAAAAAACAAACTACACACTAAACAAAATATAAAATTAAGTTCTTTTGACCGAAGTCACTACCTGTAAATACTGTTAAATGTAGAATGTTTCACACTATTCTATATTGTTTTGTAATGTTAATGATGTAAATATATGTTACTTGTCTAGTGTAATTGCCGAAAAAAATTAAAAAAAAAATTAAAAAAAAATATTTTAGATTAGTAGCGTCTTTACACAATAGATAGATTTTTATATACGCCTATACTATATACTAGTTGAATATTTGTGTTTAGTAATTTAACAAGATCGTTAATCCATCTTCATAACAGTTATTATATTCTACAATGTCGATTCAAAGTATTTTTATGGGCTTAATATATTCACTATTAATTGACTTGGAATTTTCTGGTACTGAAAATACATAAATTTATTTTATTTTAATACTCGTTAAATTATTTGTAATCTATTTGTTATTCGTATCATTTTTCATAACAAAAGAGTGGAATAACAATATATAAATTGTTAATAGATAAGTAAAAGAAAATTTGTAATAGAAAAATTAATCAAGATCCAATAATTTGTAATTACTAACTACTACCAGTTTTGTTATTTAATTTGAAGTTTACTACTTAATGGCACTATTGTGTACATAAACTCTTTTTTTCAATAATAAATATTATGATTTTTAGCTTATTCTGTTTCCTTGAATATATGGCAAAACTTAGACATATCAATTAGATTTACCAGTTTTTTGGTTTACTTATCAGTAACGTTAGTGAAAACATCACATTATGTCTTTACAGTACCACAAAAATTTTACGTACCACAATTCCTGTATGTAAAAAGTCTTTGACGACATTTTAAATTTAATATCATACAAAAAGTAAACCTGTAAAAGTAAAAATACACATTATATACTTTAGTTACCTAAAGTTTGCACCAAGTTTTATTCAAATACGGACACCATTCATTTGCGATCAATTTTAGGTTTTTAATATATCCAAATTACAAGAATCTTTATATATATACACGATATGAATATATAAAATAATTAAAATAAACGAATAAATATATTTGTAAAAATTTGAAATTATTAAATATTTAATAAGCCTTATTAGAAATAAAAAAATCTTAGGTTAAGAAAATTTTATTATAAAAAAACATTTATTTTTTGGTTTGAAAAAATTAAAAAAACTAATTTTAAAAAGAGAAAACAATATGCTATTTATAACCAGCGATAATAGCATCAGCGAGATTCTTTCATATGAAGTTTAAATGTTTGGTACCTCTTTGTCAACTTCTTTAAAAATACAGTAGCCTTAACTTATTTCCAACCATTCATACATTTATGACCAAATTTGTTTAAGTCCGTTATATATTTCTAATGCTTAGATAATGGCATATTTTCTTTTATGAAAAGATGATAATAGGCCATAATTGTACAAATATTATTAATATCAGAAGAAAATTATAGGATTCTCTATTACAGATAATCCAAAATCCGGAAAATAAGTTGCATATATTTCGTAAAATATTTCCATTGTGAAATCTTTTGATAATGTTTTAATTTAATTCTTCTAAAGAATATCTTTAAGTCATTTTATCTGCAATTATCATGTCGATCATAAATACCTTATTATCCGGATCTTTTTTTCATTCCATAAATATCTAAAAATAGATAATACCTACTCTTTCTAATTTATAAAAGTTTCAATGTATTTTAATCAGCATGTTACATTAAAACATTCTTACAACCTCCTTTAAATATTCAGCCGATATATAATGTGATTCATTTAATTTCAAGGCAACTTAGGTTTAGAATCCAATCTTTAACTTTCATTATTACATAATATGATGAATAATCATGTTGCAAAATAAATTATAGTGTACCATTCAAATCTATCAAATAGTACCTATTCATAAATTGTATCTTTATAGGCTTATCAATATCAGGATTTCATCCTTCCAATCATACAACTACCACAATAATTTTTAGTAAATTGTTTTTTTTTAAAAAAGAATTAGAGTTTACGCTATTAAGATGGCGGAATAATTTCTCCAAAGTCTGAAATACCGTACGGGCCGAGTTCTAGATGTCACGTACATCTGCATAAATTTTTGTATTGGATTGATCTTCAATGGAACAATGGAAACTTCTACAATCTTCCTAATCAGTCGATCATCGTTCTTTTTGTAATACCAATTGAACGCCCATTTTCTTCTAACCTTTTTAAGTTCAGATCTTACTAAATTTAAATCTTTCTGTACTGATCCTACTTCATTAGTTATTCCCCTATTTTCTCCGAGCTCCGTTTCCTTTTTTGAAATATTGACGGGAGTTCTTTGTTCTTTCACAAAGCCAGTTGCGAAGGTCAAAATTTTATTCCCTAAGATCTTTATATCTTTTGATATATCTTATAAGCTATTTCTGCATTACACTTTAATAAAAGCTCTACTGTTCCATATTCAATTGTGTTTCTATTTATAGTTTCAAAAAATTTAAAGCTTTGCAGGCTTTCTAAAAACTTTATCTATTTTTCCTTAAACGTTCGTACCGGTAGACTTCCAATACTTCGAAAAAATTTACTAAAAAAGAATTTGTTTATTATAAAAGACATCACTAAACCTTTTTTGTGTGTAATACGACTCAATTTTTAATTCTTTTTTTAAATATTTTGCCGAGAGTATCAGCCGTTTTTTCTTGACTTTTCCTTTAGCAAAATTTTGGTCAAGTGGTCAGTGGAAGTATTTCAAGACTTTTAATAAATCAGAAGAAATGAATGAAAATTCAGAATCGGAATTGATTGATTTTATTATAAAGTACAAATTAGTTAAATTGATTGATGAAAGTGAATTATCAGATATAAGACCTATAGATGAAGGTCATTTTGGCATTATTTCAAAAGCTATGTGGAAAACAACAAATAATTATGTTATTTGTAAAAGATTAAAAAATGATAAATCAATTAGTAATAAGCCGGCTGAAGCTTTTATCCATGAATTAAAAATGCATGGACGACTGAATTTTTGTCAAAGAATAATACGTATTCTAGGTATAAGTTTAGGTAAGCTTAAATTATATATCAACATTATATATTGACATTATTCAAAGTGTAATGAATGAAGATTCATTTTAATTTCATTTATAGATAAAGAAACAAAAGAATATTTACTCATAACAGAGTATGCTGATGGTGGAAATTTACGGCAATATCTTAAGAATCATTTTTCGGAATTAACTTGGAATGATAAAATCAAATTGGCTTATCAGATTACTGAAGGAATAAAATTTCTTCATGGAGAAAATATTCTTCATCAAGATTTACATTCTAAAAATATTGTGATACTCCATGGAGATGCTAAAATTATTAGTCTTGGTATTGCAAAAAGTACTGAATCTCAAACGAATCTACATTCAGACGTAATTGGAATGATTGCATATATTGATCCTAAACGATTAAAGGATTCTTTTTATGAATATAATGATAGGTCTGATATTTATAGTTTAGGAGTTCTTATGTGGGAACTATCTAGCGGTAGACCTCCTTTTATTAATGACATAAATGAAAGTCTTTTAAGATCAGGTTTATTAGCTGGACGTAGAGAAGAATCAGTACCTGATACACCTAATGAATACTTGATATTATATAAATCGTGTTGGGATCCTGAACCAAATACAAGACCATCAATTATTCAAGTTTACAATAGATTAGTTAAATTAGGAAGAATGAGAGGTATTCAAGACTTTCAAAATATCGAATGTGATGATGATAATATGCAAGGTAATAATATAATAATAAATAATATAATTGAAAGAGCAATTTGTGCTAAAATATATATTAACAATGTACGTTCAAGGTATTCAAGATGATAATGAATTTAATAATGTTGGTACGCAAGGTATGAATTTTTTTTTTGTTAATAATTGAAATAAAATTTATAAGTAGTAAGTAACTTTTATTTTAATAATAAATTTCTACAAAAGTGACTACAGAAGTGAATATAAACAATGCAGGTAATAATTGAAGTAATAAAAAAAATATAATTAAAAGAGTAATTTGTACTAAAATAAATATTAATATAATATGTATTCAAGATATTCAAGATGATAATAATAATAATGTCAGTGTACAAGGTATGAATTTCTTTTTTAATACTAATTAAATAAAATCTATAAATAATAATTTCTTTAATAATAAATGTCTACAAAGTGATTACAGAACTAAGTGAATATAAAATAATTGAACATGCATATTATTTTTTTTAAAGTTATTTAATTTTTTTAATCTACAAATTCTAATCATGTAAATACAATTAAAATTTATTTATTTCTAGAAAAATTGAAAAAAGGTTTATATGGAATATGCATAGAATGTAAACAGCCAAGAAGCCATTATCAATGGTGTCAACCATGTGAACAAAAACAATGCAAAGAAAATTTTGAAAATTGGACTAGTAAAGATGAAAAAATTGATACATTTCTTCAAGGTGCACAATTAAATTCTACAAGATCTCAAACTTTTTTGGAATGGATTCCTTTTTATAAACTTGAAAATATCTTAGATATAAAGTCAGAAAGTAAAACAAATACAGTATATTCAGCTATTTGGAAAGATGGACCAAGAATATGGAACCAACAAAACGAAAAATATGAAAGAATTGAAACTAAAGTTATTATCAAATTAAATAAGAATGATGATGATATTGCACAAATTAATGAAATTTTAAATGAGGTAAATTGATACTAATTTATTTTAATTGTTTGTTAGAAATAGTATTTATTATAATTATTATAATTATATAGCTTAAAATATATTTGGATTGCCATACTCAAGAATATACTTTATTGGTTCAATTTTATGGAATCTCCAAAGATCCTGTCAGTAATGATTATTTTATTGTAAAACAATTTCATAAAAACACTTCATCATTGACAGATTATATTTCCCATAACTTCAATAATTTAAACTGGAAGATGAAATTGCATTTACTACTTTATCTTTCCGAAGATTTAAAAGCATTGCACAATGCTGGATATGTTCATAAATATTATAAGAATCCATCCAGTATACTAGTATTTGATGATAAATTTTGTGCAATAGAAACATTTTTGGAATGCAAAGCTCTGACTTTATTAAATACAAATGAAAAAGGTGGATGGTATCCTTATAAGGCACCAGAAATTTTAGTTGATCAACCTTATACAAAGGCTAGTGATATTTATTCATTTGGAATGATTATGCATGCTATTGGAACAGGAAAAATTCCACCTTATTATTCTGCATCCCATTTTAATCATTTTAACCATTGTCTAACTTTTGATATTTGCTTTGGATTAAGACCACTTATTCCAGATAATATTCCAAAAAGTTTTAAAAACTTAGTAGAAAAATGTTGGAATACTGAACCAGATTTACGTCCTAATATTCATGAAGTATACTATTCTTTATTGAACTTATGGTCATCAATTTATCACAACAAATACCCAACCCCATTAAATTTAATATGTTTAGAATTTATTGCTGCTGATAAGGATTATTCTAAATCTAATTTCCAAGAAATGATTACTCAAAAAGCAAAAAATAGCAATTTAGAATCATTAGAAATGATTACTAAAGAAGCAGAAAACAGCAATTTAGAACCATTAGAAATGATCAAATATATTAAAAAAAATGATTTGGTTAATATTAGAAATATCAATGAATTAAAAATAATTCCTCCTATTGATAATGACCAATTTTGCAAGATTTCAAAAGCTATTTTGAAAATAAAAAAAACAGATATTATAGTTGCTTGCAAAAGATTTAAAAGTACCCAACTGGATAGAACCTTCTTTTATGAATTAAAGATGCATAAAAAATTATATTCTTGTTTAAGAATCTTATGTGTATTAGGCATAAGTTTAGGTAAGCTTTACCTACTTAAGTAATTTTATTGCTTTGTAACAAACTTTCATTTATTATTTATTTACAGATGAAAATACTAAAGAATACTTACTCATTATGCAATATGCTGATGGTGGAAACTTACGCAAGTATCTTAAAAATCATTTTTTAAAATTAACTTGGAATGATAAATTAAAATTTGCTTATCAAATCACTGAAGGTATTAAATATCTCCATGATGAAGATGTTCTTCATCAAAATTTACATTCTAAAAATATATTAATACATAGAAAAGAAATTAAGATTATACTTGATATTGCAAAAAGTACAGAATCTGATTATTTGAATGAAATGATTCCATATATTGATCCCAAAATTTTAGATGATCGGTCTTATGAATATGATAAGAAATCAGATATTTATAGTTTAGGAGTTCTTATTTGGGAAATATCTAGTGGTAGACCTCCCTTTATTTATAGTGAGACTGAGAAATCTTTAGAAATTCAATTAATAATAAGTGGTTATAGAGAAAAATCAATTCCTAATACCCCTAATGAATACTCAGATTTATATAAATCATGTTGGGATCCTGAACCAAGCGAAAGACCATCTATTAATCAAGTTTTTAGTAAATTAGGAAAAATGTTATATACTCAAATAAAAACAAATTTGAAGCCTGAAGAATTGATCGATTCCATTAGAAATAATTATTTAGCAATCTTAATTATTAATATAAATGAATTATCAAATGTTAACGGAAACATTACTTGGGAAAAAAAAGACTCTTCCTTTCCAGTTATTTGTAAAAAATATAAATGTGACCAACTAAATGAAGCTTTCATCCACAAATTAAAGATATATAGAAAATTCAGTTTCTGTTCAAGGATTGTACGTATATTTGGCATAAGTTTAGGTAAGCTCATATAATAATAAATATTATTTTTATTTATGTTTATATAATGAATATTCATTTTTTACTATTTTATTTGCAGATATAAATGTAAATGAATTTTTAATGATTATGCAATATGCTAATGGAGGAAATTTACGCCAGTATCTTAAAGACCATTTTTCGGAATTAACTTGGGATGATAAAATAAAGTTAGCATATCAAATTACTGAAGGAATAAAGTTTCTTCATGATGCAGATATTATTCATCAAAATTTGCATCCTAAAAATATAGTAATACACAAAAAAGAAGCTAAAATTATGCTTGATATTGTAAAAAGTGTAGAAACTGATTATTTTAATGATGATGAAATGATTTCATATGTTGATCCTAAATTTCTAGAAAACTATTCTTATGAACTTGATAAGAAATCGGATATATATAGTTTAGGAGTTCTTATGTGGGAATTATCTAGTGGTTATCCTCCTGAAGCTGAAAATATTTCAAAAAATCAAATAATTAATGGTTATAGAGAAACCCGAATCCCTAATATTCCTAAAGAATACTTTAATTTATATGAATCATGTTGGCATTCTGAGCCAAATGCAAGACCAACAATTAATCAAATTTTTAATAAATTAGAAGCAATGAATAAAAATTCAGGATTAGAGTTGTTTAATTTAATTAAAAAACATAAATTAGTTAAATTTATTAATATTGATGAATTATCAGATATAAGATATATTGATGGAGGTAATTTTGGCATTATTTCAAAAGCAATATGGAAAAAAACAGATAATTATGTTATTTGTAAAAGATTAAAAAATAATGAATCAATTAATAATAAGCCGACTGAAGCTTTTATTCATGAATTAAAAATGCATGGACGACTGAATTTTTGTCAAAGAATAATACGTATTCTAGGTATAAGTTTAGGTAAGCTTAAATTATTTACCAACATTATATATTAACATTATTACAAGTGTAATAAATGAAGGTTCATTTTAATTTCATTTATAGATGAAAAAACAAAAGAATATTTGCTCATAATGGAGTGTGCTGATGGTGGAAATTTACATCAGTATCTTAATAATCATTTTTCGGAATTAACTTGGAATGATAAAATCAAGTTGGCTTACCAGATTACTGAAGGAATAAAATTTCTTCAGGGAGAAAAAATTCTTCATCGAGATTTACACTCTGGAAATATAGTAGTACATCAAGGAGAAGCTAAAATTATTGATTTTGGTATTGCAAAAAGTATGGAAACTCAAACATATAGTTATTCAGGTGTATTTGGATCACTTCCATATATTGATCCTAAACGATTAGCGAATTATTCTTATGAATACAATGAAAAGTCTGATATTTATAGTTTAGGCGTTCTTATGTGGGAAATATCTAGTGGTAAATCTCCTTTTGCCAATAGAAATATTGGTGGAGATCTTTTAAGACATGATTTAATAGGTGGGCATAGGGAGGAACCAGTACCTGATACACCTGACGAATACTTGAAATTATATAAATCATGTTGGGATCCTGAACCAAATAAAAGACCATCAATTAGTCAAGTTTTTAGTAAATTAGTTAAATTAGGAAGAATGAGGGGTATTCAAGACTTTCAAGATATCAAATGTGATGATGATGAAGTGCAAGGTAAGAATGTTTACCTTGCAATACTAATAAATTTTACTAAAAAAAAAAAAAATTAATAACGTGACAAATAAATTTGTTTAAACTTTATTTTTTATTTACGATAAATTAATTATTAGGCATTCAAGATAATAATGTCAATGATACTGATGCACAAGGTAAATTATTTATAACCAATTAATCATATAAGTAATAATTTCTTTTTTTAATAATGAAAATTCTACAAAAGTGACTAGTACGGAAACGAGCAATAATGGTACAATAGGTAATCGATCAATACATATATTTTTATTTTAAATTTAAAATTTTTTTTTTATTTATAATTTCTAATTATTTATAAATTGTTTATATAATTGAATTTGTGGAAGATGATATTAATCATGATTTAGACAGTAAGTTTATTAACAATAACTTTATTATTTAAGATATAAAATAAATAATTTGTTTTTTTAGTTCCTGGATGACATAGTTGATTAAATAACTATAGATGGACCATTTTACTCGGTAAGTTCCTAACTTCTATTTAATTTGTACAGTATATACTATCATATTCTTACTATTAAATACATTTTCACTTTTTCAGACGAATTTATGGCCAAAATTTTTATATTTATATAGTCCTTATAAATGATGTATCTTTAGATATAATGTTTATATATATCTTACAAATTTATGAAAATAAAATTTTTACCATGGAATCTGAAGTTTAAAAATTGATTTTATTTTATTTAGTCCAATTCTTTTTATTTTCATTTATTTATATACTGTAACTTCTGGATTATATATTTAAGCTGATTATGAATACAATTTCTAAAGGTCCTTTCCTGTTAAATTTACTATACATTATAAACCGCTTTAAAGTATTTATCAAGATCCAAACACATTCTGTAAATATTCATGATAAAAAAATATACAAATTTTTGTTACTAATAATGTATTTCAATTTTTTTTTTTATTTTTTACTCTTTCGATATTTTACTTATTAAAAATTTTTTATCCAATCTTAAGATATAATAATTCGTGCTTTCCATAATTAAAAAAAAAGTATTTTAACAAGTTATCAATATATTTTAAATAAAACCCAATAATAATGTTTATTCAATAACTAAAAAGAAAGAACTATTTAAATTATAAACTAAGAAATTTGTAAACATTTTACTACTCTAGTCTTAGTGTTTAAATAATTCTAAATATAATGAAAGAAAATGTATATATTCAATAGTTGTTATGTCAGTGCTAAGAAACCTGCAAAACATATTATTACTATAACCTAGGTGTTTAAATAATTCTACATAATATGATTAAAAAAACAACAATAATAATCAAATATCAATTGAAGAGCTATAATAAAACTTTAAAAAGTTTTATATAAATACAAATAAATTTCATCTGTATAAAAATATGTAACAAAATTAATCCATATAAAAATAATCATTCAAATTACAATTATTCATACTCATTTCAGATTCAAGAATTTCATTCAACTTTGCACTATTATTTACATCTAAATAATAATAAATAAATTAATTAATTTCGCATAAATAATTTACAAGATTAATTTTTATATTTTAGTATATACCTAATAATTTAGTCAAATTTGAATGATACGCTTGTGAATCTTCACTTTCAGGAATTTTATTCAATTCTTTATTAGTAAAATTAGATAAGAGACTTGTATAACTTGCTTTAGGATGAGATTTAGTAGCAAGTTTGTTATGTCCAATTGGTGCATTTATAAATTCCAAAACATTACATTTTAACTCTTCATTAATATCTTCGATTTTCTTTCCATAAGGGAGAAAAATCCATTTTTCAATAATATCTAAAACTTCTTCAGAAGATGGTCTGTTTAATGGAACTTCATTCCAACACTTTTTCATTAAATCTACGTAACATTGTGGAGAATTTTTAATAATTTCAGGACGTTCACCGTTACAAATACTTAAACAAAAATCCATATCATGTCCTCTATTATTATATGGTGATATCCCAGACGTAAATTCCCACATAATCATAGAAAAACTATATATATCACTAGCTGGAGTATACGGGTTGCCTTTTAAAACTTCAGGAGCCATAAATGTCATAACACCATAAATATTATGCTTTTTCAAAAACGATTTTACAGGTCGACATAGTCCTAAATCACTAATATAAACTTTATCTCCATTCTCATCATTATGTAATAAAATATTGCCATCATGAAAGTCACAATGAATAAGATTTTGATTATGTATCTCATTAAGCCCAGCAATAATATCATGCAACATATGTAATTTTTGTTTCCAATTATTTTCGACTAATTTTGTTAAATTTGCTCTTAAATTACCCATGTTTGCACAATCCATTGCTACCATATATCTTAATGTATCTGGATCTTTTGTAAATCCATAAAAATTAATGATTTCAGATGAATTTAAGCAACTTTCATGATATTTCCACTATAAAAAAAAATAATAATAATATGAGTATAAATTATAATTTAAATTAAAAAAAAATAAATAATATACTATCATACTTCATTTAAAAATTCATTTAAACTATTATCATTTAAATCATTATGACATTTTAAAATTACTTCTCTATCTCCATTATTATTTGACCAAATAGCTTTGTATACAGTACCAAATCCTCCTTTATCAAGATATTCAACATTTTTAAATTTATTATAAGGAATCCATTTTAACCTCTTTTCAAAAATAAAATCATCTATAATTGCATTTCCACTTTTTCCAAATCTATAAATTTAATTTATATTAATTTATATTAAAATATATATTAAAATTTAAAATTAAAAAAAAATATTATTATTACTTACTCTGATGAAATTAAAATATAATTTTTTAAAAAAATAAACTTAGTTTTTGTATAAATTTGTATATAAATTAATTTATAATTAATGACTTACCAACTAATGTAATATTTTTTTAAATATAATAAATTCAGTTAATATAACTATAACTATTATATAAATATATAACAATAGATATAAATAATAACTTACATGCTACATTATTAAATAAAAAATTTGATTAGTAAAATACTTAAAATACTATACAAAGTAATAGAATTAAATAACTTATAACATACATTCTAAAATAAGTCACAAAACAATTATTTAAATAAAGAACTTGGTTAGTTTAAATTATATGTAAAGCCATTCCAAATTAATTTTTAGTTTAACATCCTTCCCTTCAACTTTAGAGTAAATTAAAACATAACATATATACCCAATATATTCAAAGCAACCTTCTCTTTCTAAAATTTAGTAGTACTAAAGATTTCCAATTTTACCAAAAATTTCCAAAATTTAATTATCATATTTGTTTAAATTATTTAAATTATTTCATCAAGAAAGGATATTAAACTAATTATTAGTTTTAAATGGCCTAAATATTATAATATATAATAATAAGTAACTTAAAACTTACGTTCTAAATAAATTATCAAATAAAGAATTTAATTAGTTTAAACTATGTAATATTACATAAATATATATTAATAGAATTAAATAAATAATTTAAAACTTACGTTCTAAATAGATTATCAAATAATTTTAAATAACCAATTTAGTTAGTTCAAATTATATGTAACATTATATAAATATCAATAACAAATTAATAAATAGCTTATAACTTACGTTCTAAAATAAGAAACCGAACAATTATTTAATAAAAAACTTAGTTAGTTTAAATTATATGTAAATATTATCAATTATTTACCTTCTACTGTATATTGTCAAACAATATTTTAATAAAATGTATTTAGCTTAAATTATATAAATTAGTATATAAATATAATAAATTAAATAAATAACTTAGCTTACTATCTAAAATAGTTATTAAATAAACATTCAATAATTAGTATAAATTGCATAAATAAAATAATATAATAATTAAATTAACTTACTATCTAAAATAAAAAATCGAATTAGTTTAACTTATTTATGATTATTATAAAATAGAAGTAATAATTATTTATAACTTACAATCTAAAATTTTAATAAAGAATTTGATTAGCTTAAATAATATAATTTATAAAAATTTAAATGAATAACTTACAATCTAGCACAATTATAAATAAAAAATTTAATTAGTTTAAACCAAACATTAATATTATATAAATATAATATAACAAATAGATACTAATTTATGACTTACAATCTAAAAAATTTTAAACAAATTTAATCAACTTAGTATATACTAGTATATATATAATAAAATAAATAAATAATATATAACATACCAACTGAAAATCATTAATAATTTTTTAAATAAAATTGAATTAGTTAATTATATATAAACATTATGTAAATATAATAAAACTTAATAAATAATTTATAATTACCAACTATAGTAAATTAAGTATCCAAAAAAAATTGTTAATTCAAATTATATATAAATATAATATGTAATTATAATTAATTATAACTTACTTCCTATTATTAGTTATTAACCAATTTTTTTTAAAAAAAAAAATTGTTGAAATTATATATGAATATCATATAAGTATATAATAAATTAAATAAATAATTTATGACTTACTTCCTGTATTATCATTAAATTTTAAAATATTAGTTAATTTAAATATCACATAAGTATATTAATAATAAGTATAATAAGATTAAATAAATAATTTTATGACTTACTTTCTATTATAAAAATAAAATTTGAAATTAAATATTTAAGTTATTTAAAATTATATGTAAATATAGTAAGATATAATAAATTATATAACTTACGATCTAAATAATTTTTAAATCAAGAATTTAGATAATTTAATTTATATATAAGTATTATGCAAACACAATAGAATTAATAGATAATTATAACTTACGTTCTATTAGTATTGATTATTTTTTAAATAAAATTTAATTAATTAAATATATAATATAAAATAAACTGAAATTAAGTAAATAGCTTACGATCTGAAATAGTTTAAATAAAAAAATTTAGCCATTTAAATTAAATATAATAAATTAATATATAATATAAATTTACTTACTGACTAATTATCAAACAATTTTAAATAAAAAATTTAATTAGTTTAGATAATTGTACATAAATATTTTAAATATAAAATGAAAATTTATAGCTCGTATAGCATACCATCTATAAATGTTTTATAAAAAAAAATTTAGTTAAATCATATTTTAATAAAATTAATTAATAAAATTATATAACTTACGATCTAAATAATATTTAAATAAAAGTTTAATCAGTTTAGTTAAAGCAATTAAATACATATATAATAATAAATTAAAAAATTTTATAAATATAAATGTGATTAATTTTATATAAAATAATAACTTGTACTTACCAACTAAAATAAATTGACAAATAAATTTTAAATGAAAAAATTAATTATATGTTAATATAGAATTGCAACAAAATTAATTAAATAACTGAACTTATTTAGAACTTACGATCTAAAAATAATTTTTAAATAAAGTTTTGGTTAATTTAAATTCATATTAAAATGTTAATATATGAATAAATAACTTATAACTTACTGACTAAAGTAAATTGTCAAAATAAAAAATTTAAATATATTAGTATACTCTATGTAGTAACTATTCTAATATAACATATAACTTATGACTTACAGTCTGTAAATAAAACTTAAATTAGTTTATATATTAAAAATAAATTAAATAAATAATTTATAACTTACAAACTAAATAAGTCATCAAATAATTTTTAAATAAAAAATCATATTATTTTAAATTAAAGTAAATCTAAATTACTAAAATAATAAAATTAAACAAATAATAATTACAATCTAAAATAATTTTAAATAAAAACCTAGTTAGTTTATATTATATATGAATATACATAAATAAAAGAATAATTAAACAAATAACTTACCTCCTATATTATTAAACAAATTTTTAAATGAAGAATTTAGCAATATATATATATATATATGTAAATATAATGATATTATTAATAAATATCCTACCAGCTAAAGTAAATTACCAAATAATTTTTATAAATAAAAATTTAGTTAATTAAATTATATGAAATAAATTATTACATTATTATATAAATCATAACTTACAAACTACTGTATTATTATTAACTATACATAAATAAAGAACTACAGTTAATTAAATTTAAAATGTATAAATAAATAGAAATATAAAAAAGATACAATAACTTACACCCTATATCATTATTGATTATTCATAATTTTAGATGAAAAATTAGTTGGATATGAATATTACAATGTATATTTAAAATTAAATATATAACTTACAATCTAATTATTCAAATAAGGAATGTATTATTAATATGAAATATTATAAATATCATATAAATATAATAAAATTAAATAACCCACCATCTGTAGCAACATTAATTATTATATAATTATTTAAAGAATTGGTTATTTGGATTTTATATATGACAGTAAAAATAAATAGCTAGTAACTTACTAACTATAGTATTATTAATCATTAAATGAATTATTTAGTTATATGTAATATAACAAAAATAAGTAATTCAATTATAAGATAATCTATTAACTTACGAGCTAAATTATTTAATATATAATATAGTCAGTTTAAATTATAGTTGTATATTAGGGTATAATTATAGATAGTATTTAATTTATTTACAAATAAAAATTTAATATTTCAGCTTGTTTGATATACCTTCAGATTCCTTGGTACTACTTCCTTCAAATTCTTTGGTGCCACTTTCTTCAAATTCCTCGATATCACTTTCTTTAGATTCCTTGGTACTACTTCCTTCAAATTCCTCAATATTACTTCCTTCGAATTCCTCAATATTACTTCCTTCGAATTCTTCAATACTACTTTCTTCAATTTTCTTGGTATTACTAGAAACTAGTTCTATTATATTGTAAATTTGTTAAAATTTTAGAATTCAAATTTGTATTAAATGTACATTCTTATATGATTTTACCTTTATCTTTACGTATACGCTTTTTTTTTCTATATTTACTTAATCTTTGTCCCATTTTTTCAAAAATTCTCCCTAAAATAAATTAAAATGTTAAATATCTTATTAATTTATTTATTTTTCAAATAACAACAGATTATAAATAGGGAACGGGTATTATCTGTTATTATTATTAATATTTATGCAAAATGCATTATGTTGATCACAAGTACAAGCATTGCATGTATACAAACAAACTTTGCACGTGTCAACTATCAAGACTAATTAGTGCGCAGCAATAATCACAAATCAGAAAAAATTTTCTTAATACATATAATACATAATATATATACTTCTAAAAGTCGTTAAGAAAGATAAATCTTCGGCTACTTTACAA